AAATCATGTCAAGGGTGTGATATCTCCCTTCACTAAGTGTCCAAATTCTTGATGGCTCAAGCTCTAGACAAGCTGAGATTATTCAAATCCCCTTGTTCAATTTCTAGTTCAGAAAATCATCACCCAGAAAAGCAACACCACTGAAAGATCATGAAGAAAAGGTAATAGTAGACACAAAAGTAAACCAGAAAGAATCCACAAAGATAGATAAGACAGAAAGGGGGGATGAATTACAGCCATTTCAACAAAGTTTTTTTTTTTGGAAATCTTGTCACAGTCCAAAACCTGGGTTTTGTCTCTCTGCTAATCTGGAGAATACAGAAAAAATAAAACCTACACCACGGGGTGACTTTAAACTGAGCCCACCTGAAATCAAATCAGTGTGGCCTCAGGTGGAGGTCTTGGGAAAAAAAGGGCATTTCTAGGTGACAGGAGTGTGGGTGAGGTCACGTGGCCCTCACCCAGGCCGTCACCTGGCTGCCACGTACCCAAAAAGATTCATGTTCCGCCAACATGGTTTACTAGCCGATCAGCAGGTGAGTGGATTTGTCTGAGAACAACCTGGAATCCAGGGTGCTCAGCACACATAAGCTTGGATGTCCCAAATCATTGATAGCAATTATTTGTACTTGTACAATTTTTTGATTTTTTGATTTTATTTTGATTTTATTTTATTTTATTTTATTTTTTATTTTTATTTTGAATAATTACGTCACTGGCTTAACTAGACTTGTTCAGAATTGAGAACTGTCCCTTTTCTGTATTGCTCCGCACACCACCCACTCTGAGTCATCACTTCAATCGTTCACCAGTAAGTCTTGTTCTCATGTCATCAATAGCAAGGTTTATCGACTGCATCATCCACTACCACATCAATGTATGTATCAGATTGTGATATTAAACTGGAGAGCATTGTGGTAAGTTCCTCTTTCTTTCACATCTATCTTTTCTTATCATTGTTGTTGATCAATTGTTTATTTTCATCTTACTATTGTCTATTCTTCTTTGTCACCATTGCATCCCTTTCATCATTGTAGGTCACTCTCCTTCTCTCTTCTTGAAGACCCCTAGTTTGATTGTTCTAAGTTCATTCTCTTTTTCATCTTATTTGTTCAAGGATTTCCATACTTGATCATCTTTCATCACAGCTTTACAGATCTTGTTTGCTCAATCGGTATGTGTTTCATCTTCCTCTCTCTTGTACTTCTCAATCACCTGTCACTGACTTCACTGCTTTAACTTTTGATCTATCTTTCCTTTGTTCATAGACTGTTCTTCCCTTCTTTGATCACTGGCTCAATCACCTGTCTATTGAGTAAGTGATGCATTTTGTGCACTTCAGGTCTCTGTCAACTCATACTCACTGGCATCATCATCTTTCCTCTTGACACAAAGATGTGCAGCTCATTCAAGTCTGGACTGTTTTCAATTTGATTCCTTTTATCCAAGATTTTTCTTTTTCACCGTTATTTCTCATGTTATTGTATCATAGTACATGTTGTTTAGAAATGCAAAGAGTAGATGATCTATTTTATGTGTAATTTGTGCGTAAAAATAAAGAACCAAGCCCAATTTGAGTAGTTTGGCAATCGAGCAAAATAACCTATCACCCATCATTAGCAGGTAGACAAAAGGTTGAGTTATTTCACCTCGTCATAAGGTGAGATAGATCATGCAGTTTTTGAGTGAGCCATCACATTGTGGATACATGATCATGTCAGGTGTTGGCCACCTTGAGTTTCACCTGTAGCTCAATCAGTGTGGCCTCAGGTGGAGAGCCCGGGATTTCTTGGCAGAGGCCAATTTCACCTGATGCTCACCTGCCAGCCGCCCCGTAGTGTATACACAAGACTTTTGTCTGGTTTTGTTTGCTGCAGCAACAACTTTCTTTAAAAAAAGTGATCAACCTTTCTTGAAATGGCTGTATGATAAGACTACCTGTCACACCCTTCCATAACCCACATCACACCTTTCACACACAGTGCACACACATACACCCTTACAATGGGAAGATCCAAGTTGATGATCCAGAGTACAAAGAAGTTGAGGTTGGTCTTCCTGACCAGACTGATGGTGTCATTGACAAGGTGACAGTATTGATCACAGCCTCAAAGATGAGGACAGCGGAGAACAAAATAAGGACATACAGAAGTATGTGGTTGCAATTGGCCCTTACCAAGCTGAGTCAGAGTACTCATTCTCATCTTTTTCTCTTATTTCTCCTTTTGATTATGACTATGATTACTAACCCTTTGTTTTTTCATACAAGTTGATAGAATCTCAGGTCAAATTGCTGGTAGTGCTTTCTGTCACAGTGCTCTCAAGGCATGTTTCACTTCTATGGTCTTCAAGGGTTGCATGCTTAAATAACCTTGTGAAACACAGTGGAATAGCCATTACAAATGCCTTTAGATAGCCTTGGAGACTCAAGAGGTATGTATTCCAAACCTCCAAGGAAAGGTCACATCATGCAGGCGCGGCCATGACTTCTGTGCACTTGTAATGCTTGATCTTACGCTATTTGATCATCACCTCTGATCAAACTGATGATCTTGACGACTTTGTTAAAACTCAAGCAAATCTCTAGCTGAAAGCCAAGGCTAAAGAAATATCAATAGGGAGTTTCAAGTCAAGAAATTTAACAGTATTTTACAGTCCAACAAGTTATCTGATGTTGCAAAACATACTGTAAATTTAAAAAAATCAGGACACCTTTTTAGGTATTCCAAATGCTATTGACCATACATTTGGAGGAAAAAAACACACACACTGTAAAATTTATAAAACCTTTTTCTGTTTTTTAAAAAGTTTCACAAATATTTTCTGACTTGAAATCCCCTTTATTGAACTTACTTCTTTGTTACCAGATTATCAAAGTAACAGGTCTGCTACACCACAAAAACTTATGTCAAGTGCAATTGATTGAAAGATAGGTGGCACAGATTCCCACCAAGTTGTATGGGTTTTGGGAGAAGACTGTTGTGTGAGTGATAAGATTTGATGGTGAAAGTGTGAGCTTCAATTTGCTAGTGATCATATATTTTTGGAAAGGTTGAGCTTCAAGTCTACTGGTGAACCATTCTATCTTGATGATTGAATATTTTTAAAAGTTTAATCAGGTGAATTCCAGTGTTTTGCTGGAGGATCAGCTTACAGCCAAAAGGATTTAGTCAGTCCAGGAACATCTAGACTGGAATGATAAACTGAAAGATCTTCTGAAATCGAGTTAAATTTAAAATAAGATGATCATGATGATCAAGTACTAGATGTGAAGATGTGAATCTGAAGTGATCATTCAAGCTTTCACAGCACTTAAACTTAACAAAACTACTTGACAAAACTACCACACCAAACAATAAATAAATTGTATGTAGTCTTTTTTTTTTTTCTAAATTCCAGATAAATAGACAGATGAAATGTACATATGTACATATGTATTTGTAGTTTGTGGATGGTGAGTTTCGATTCTTGTTGAAATTGAAAGTGATTTTGTAATTTCCAATTTCGAACTTGAAGTTCAATACATATGAAATCAATTGAAAGTGAATTAAAGTTTGTATGTATGTAGAGAGAAAGATGAAAGATGAAAGTGAGTGTTACAGTTGATTGGATTGTTTGGATGGATTGATTGGATTGAGATGAAAAGTTGAAGATCGATTGAGCTACTTTACCAATCTGTTGTTAATCGATATTATAGTCAACAGCTAGATAGGAAGACTTCTTGACCATTAACCAAATCGAATTGAATGATGAGTACTCTCAGTCTCAATCATCAAACTAAATCATCTTCTTCTAAATCTAAATCTATCAGAATGAAAAGTTCAAATTTTCAACTTACTCCACCTACTTCACCTCATCATACTAAAACTACTAACCATCTCAATCTGATTTCTAATCTTAATACCTCGGTTTCACTCTTACATTCAAATTCAAACTCTTCCCAATCTGGACTTCTTCATCTTCATCATCAACAACAACAACGATCATCTTCAAATCAAAATGAATCACAAACTTATCATCAAAAGAAGAATCAAGAAGAAATTGAAATAGAAGAAACTGAAACAGAAGAAATTCAATCAGAACCAGAATCAGAACCAGAATCAGAAACAGAATCAGAAACAGAAGAAACTGAGACCCTAATCTCATCAGAATCAGATCAAGTTGAAGAAATTTCAGTTAACCAGCCTATTCTAAATCTTACTGAACCACAAGCCATTCTTGAAAATCAAATCACTTTATCATCTTCAAGTCTTTCATTGACTTCAACTTCAATCCCACAACAACAACAAAATCATCATCATCATCATCATCCATCAAATTCAATCTCAATCTCAAACTCAATCCCATCAACCTCAAGATCTCAAGTTTTGATTTCTAAATTCAATTCTCAATCTACCTCATCTCCCTCGACTGTCAATCATCAATCAATCAACTTATCACCATCATCTCCATCATCATCATCTTCTTCTAATCCTAATTTAAATCAAATCATTCATTCAGATCAGAAACTATCTCAATCTTCTTCTCAAACTCAAACTCAAATCCCTTCTACTCCATCTTTAATTCCTCAATCAACTCAACCTAACACCCCAACTACTACTCTCAATACACCTCTTATCAATCAAACTGAACCTACAAAAGAACCCAAATCCAATTATCACCATCAAAAGGAATTAACATCCAATCATAATCATCAAAACAATCCATCTAATCAAAACAATCCATCTAATCAAAACCATCCATCTAATCAAAACGATCCATCTCATCAAAACCATCATCAACAAAGAGACCAACTCGAATCATCAGCTAATCATACTACAACCACTGAACCGACTTTTGAAACTCAAGTGGCTTATCCAATCTTCGAACCCACTCCAATCTCAACTCCGGATCCTACCCCAGTCTCAACCTCGGCTCCTATCTCATCCACTTCAAAACGTACTACCCACACTCCATCAAACTCACCACCAACAAAACCCGAGCCACAAAAGTCAGCCAACATGACTAATCGATCTAGACGACAGTTGGGTGAATATAGTTTGGGTAAAACCTTGGGAGCAGGAAGTATGGGAAAAGTCAAATTAGCCATCTCATCTGTTACAGGAGAAAAGATTGCTATCAAGATCATTCCTCGTCATACCTCACTCACAGCTGCACAACAACAAGTTGAGAAATCAAAAGAATTGAAAGAAGATGGTGTGAATGGTAGTAATTATCTGGAGAAAGCCAAGATTAAAGATCAGGGTAAAGAAGTTCGAACGATCAGAGAAGCTAGTATCGTCTTACTCTTACATCATCCTTATGTGTGTGGTATGAAGAGTATGTTGGTCTATCCTGTGAGTGATTTCTTTTCGATCGTCGACTACCTACTTACCCCATCATCTTTTCATTCTTATCACTCAAACTGATCAGATCTTATCTTTCATCTTAGCATCATTATTACATGCTCTTCGAATACGTTAATGGTGGTCAGATGTTAGATTATATCATTTCTCATGGAAGACTGAGGGAACGAGCAGCAAGGAAGTTTGCAAGACAGATGGGTAGTGCATTAGAATATTGTCATGCCAATTCAATCGTACATCGAGGTACGTCATCAAAGCCTTTCTCTCTTTCACATGTTCCAAAGTCACTTACAGGTCTTCTCACATTTGGATCGTTTGAAACTTTCGACTTTAGATCTCAAAATCGAAAACATTTTGATTTCCAAGACTGGCAATATCAAGATCATCGACTTTGGTCTATCGAATCTCTTTTCACCTAATTCAAATCTTCAAACGTTTTGTGGTTCACTCTATTTTGCTGCACCGGAATTATTGAATGCCAAAGTGTATATCGGTCCAGAGGTAGATGTCTGGAGTTTTGGAATCGTTTTGTTTGTGTTAGTTTGTGGAAAGGTTCCATTTGATGATCAATCGATGCCTGCTCTACATGCTAAAATCAAACGTGGTCATGTTGATTATCCAACTTGGCTGAGTTCTGGTGAGTTTGGATGATTGATTTATCTTTGATGACATTCAACTGACCCTGTTTTCTCAGAATGTAAACATATTCTTTCAAGAATGTTGGTCACTAATCCGCAAAATCGAGCTAGCTTAACCGAAGTTCTATCGCATCCATGGATGGTCAAAGGATTTGACGGACCACCAGACTCACATATTCCACATCGAGAACCATTGAGGATCAATGAGATACAAGAAGAAGTAGTCAAAGGAATGACCGGGTTTGAATTCGGAACAGCTGAAAAGATTGAAGCCGATCTCCGAGCGGTTCTGACCAGTGAACTTTATCAAAAAGTATTGAAGAATCATGATTCAAAACGATCTAGATTAGATGGACATCCTGATATTTATTCTTCATCTCAAAGTGGTTCAAGTGCTTCGATGGCGGCCAATGGAATCAAAAAAGAACATCGAGGGGATCGAGAATTACCAAAGGCTACTAATAAATCGGCCAAAAGGTTTTCTGGATTCGGATTCTATGGAAAGAAGATTGCAGCTGTTCTTGGATCGAACTCTACATCTAAACATGAAGAAAAATCAAATGAATCAAATCCATTGGATACCTCTGTCTTGTTGAATGGTCAATCACTCGATACCGTTGATCCTACTAGAGGTTTTCATCCATTGATTTCGATTTATTATTTAGTTAGAGAAAAGATTGAAAGGGAAAAGATCTATGGACCTGGTTTCTTTGCTTCCTCTACTCTTTCTGTGACTGGACCACCACCACCACCTGCTCCTCCCTCAGCATACAAGAGTGCTTATTCACCTACGGTACCGGATTTTCCTGATATTCGACCACCGGCGGCTGCTGCTGTGAATACGAATAATGATAACCCACCACCTAGATCAGCTCTCAAACATCGTACGTCGGGATATCAAACAGCAGAAGAAGATCGAAACCATCGAACAAGATCATCTGCTCGACCATCTACTGCCGTAGCAGTGATGAGCACAGCACCTAAATCAGCACCTGCTTCACCTGCTAGACCAGGTGATGAAACCGATCATCCTCGAAGAAGTACACAAGCCAATGCTCAAAGATCTGAATTAGGATCTAAACCACCTACCAGTCGAGCCGAAAGAGTGCTCAGTATGATTGAAACTAGTGATCAAGCTCATCATCAATCTACAAGTATTGCTAAACGGTTTGGATCATTCTTGGGAAGATCTTCATCTGTGGTAGATCCTGATCATGATTATAAACGACATCGGCCTAGAACGTCGATTGGAGGATCTGGACATAAATCGTCGACTAAGACACCCTTGAGTGCTTTACCACAAGTCACTGAGACTAGAAGGATCGATCCAGATGATGTTCCATTGAGTGCACCGGCTCATGGGAAACCAGTTAGTAGAGCAAGTACGATTGGAGTTCCTGGAACTGGAGCCGGAACCACCAAAGAATCAAGTTCTACTGCTGCCAATCGAACTATTCCACATTCAGCTTCAGCTGGATCATCTTGGAGACCTAGGTTGAATTCATTACATAATCCAACAAGTACCCCAAGTGAAGGAGAAGATCAAGGAACAAGTCTTTCAATGGGAAACGGAGGAGTTGAAGCTCCTAATGCTAATAATTGTACAACTTTATTGGAAAGTGAAGAAGAAGAAATCACCAATCATCATCGAGAAGTAGAAGTGGAGAATGAGAATGAGAGACCGGAAAGTGGTGGGATGATACCTTCTTCTAAGTATCAAGTTGAATTTTCGGGTAGAACGGCTTCACCTAGTCGTGGAGATAAGATAAAACCGATTTATTTAAAAGTTCATTCCCTTCCCACTTTTCTCTGATTCAAAAAAAAAAAATGAAAAGCAAAAACTGATGTTGAGAAATGTGTTTTTTTTTTCTTTTTTTTCGTTTGTTTGTTTTTAATAGGGATTATTTTCAGTAGCAACTACATCTACCAGAGGACCACAAGTCTTACGAACCGATCTAATTAAAGTTTTGAACCGAATCGGAGTTCAAAATCGTGAAATCAAAGGTGGATTCGAATGTGCTCATGCTCCTTCGATTGATCTTTCTAGGTTAGGTAAAGGTAGAGATCGAGTAGGTGTTTCGAACGAAAGAGTTTCTTCTTCTTCTCCACCTCAAGAATCTACCACTGCTGGGGTTGGATCAGCTGGGGGTGGGACAGGTGGGACAGGTGCGATGATTAAGAGAAAGTTGTCCAGAGGATCTTTTATTGAGAATGGTGGTAGTGATGGTAAGTAAAAAGAAGCTCTCAATCAACATTTCCCTTCAACTTTTTTTTTTCTTTACTGAGATCTTGATTCTTTATTGTTTTGTGTTTCGTGGTATGGGCAACGATTTATAGCGTTAAGTTTATCAAATCATCAAAAAGGAAACTTTAGTAAGAAGACAAAAGATGATTTGGTAGTTCGATTTGAAATCTTTATTGTTAAGATGCCTTTGTTACCTGGTATTAATGGCCTACAGTTTAGAAGGATTTCAGGTAATGTTTGGCAGTATCAAACGTTTGGTTAGTTATTGTTTCTTTTTGAAGATTTGATCAGAAGGTTTTATGAGAGATTGATGAGAGGTTTTGGTTTTTTTTTAGCTAAGAGAATTTTACAGGAATTGAAGTTGTGAGGTGTTTGGATCAAGATCGGATTTGAATGGTCAAGATCGGATTTGGATGGTCAAAAATCAATGAATGGTCAAAAATCAATGAATGGATTTAATGGATTTAATGAAGGATGGGGTTTAATGAAGGATTAGGTTTTTGAAAAGAACAAAAGAAGGAAATAGGTACAAGGAAATCTTGGGATCCGTCTTTTTTCTTTGCTTTTGATGGTTTGTTTGATTAATTAAAACTTGCTTTGATTTGGTTTGGTTTTTTAAATTTCTTAAATTTCAATCTTTTTTCAATCTTTTTTAATTTTTTCCAATCTTTTTTAATTTTTTCTAATCTTTCTAATTCCTTTTTTATCATATACAATCTACAATCTCTTTCACTTTTTTTGACTCTTTTTTGCTTCCTTTTTTAAACTTTCATGAATTTTATACTTTTATATCTTTCTTTTTTTGGTTTGGTTTTGGTTTTATTTTAAAAAAAATAAATTTATGGTTTCGTTTTAGCTTAGCTTAGTCAATTTTTTTCATTTGAATCTTTATTTGAATCTTTAAATCTTTATTTGAGTCTTTATTTGAATCTTTATTTTGAATCTTCATTTTGAAACTTTATTTTGAAACTTTATTTGAAACTTTATTTGAACCTTTATTTATCAATTGAGAAAAAAAAATGGAGAAGTTTTTTTGTTTTTGTTTTGTTTTACTTTACTTTTGACTTTGACTTTGGTTTTGACTTTGACTTTGGTTTTGATCACTACTATTACTATTACTATTACTATTACATACTCTTTTGATCTTTATTTTTCACATGATTTGAATCCTTTAAAGTCTTTCTTTTCTTTCCATTTTCTCTTGATTGTTTTATAATTCTTTTTTTTCATTTCTCTTTTGTTTTTGGTGCTTTGTTTTTTGTGCTTCTTTTGCAATGTGATAGTGTCTTTCTTTTATAGGTCTATAACATATATATACATATATATATGGGTTTTTTTGGTTTTAATGATGAATGAATGAAAAACCAATTGATTTTTATTTTGTACTTGATTGATGGTTTAAGAACTTCAAGAGGGTTTTTGGGTTCAGTTTAAATAATTGGTTTATATTTAATTGAAAATGTTAAGTTTTCATGTATGTGAGTTTTGTTTATAACAATTTGGAAAATTGTGATTTGATTTTTCAAATAAAGAAGTGGTGTGATATTAGCCAAAAGTTTGTACATTCTTTGCACAGAATACACCCATTCTTTTGTGGTGTTGAAAATTGGTTTCCTACAGTTTACATCTCTGGAGGCTTGCCCTGGTGTTGTATATGAAAAGAAGGCCAATTGAATCAACTTGTGTGATTGATTCACATACATCTGAGAGCAAAAGATTTGGATCTGCATTAATTTCATTCTAAACACTGAGAATCATGATGAGAAATAAATATGAAGGAATCATTGGAATTCTAGTTGATCTGGAATGTCTACAACTTGTACTGACATTTCTAGTGGGTGTTGGTTATTCTTTTCAAGTAATTTGTGTGAAGATTTGATTTTTTCTTATGGGTTGAGTTTGTTTGCATTGGGACTCTCTCATTTCCAAGTTCTGAATCAAATGGTCTGTTATATACATCCATGTCAATCTTCCTTGAATCTTTTTGAGGAAATTTTAATTTTGAGAAAGTTTCTAGTAGATCTTGGTGAATAATATGACCACTGAATTTTCTTGTTCCCTTTTTCTGCAATGTTTGAGGTGAACTGAATTGGATCAGTCAATATATTATTTTCACTTGGTGTACTTGAGGCTTGATGATGTTATTCAATAAGGTTATAAGGAGATCTCTGAGACGTTTGAAAATCCAAAAAGTCCAGAACTATTAGTAATGGTTTCTTTATCTCAGCATGCAAAGCTTTTAGGGTACCTGTGGACTTTTTATGAGAGAATGTCTTTTCTTTGATTGAACCAAATACATGATAGGGCAGGGAAACATGCTTCAGAATGGGCTCCTATGATATACATCTTGATGCTTTTAAGAAAATCTGGTCTAGGGTCTTTGGTTGGATTGATTATTTCAAAAGTTGATGGATTAAGTTTTGTTGAGATTTCTAGAAAGGTGTAGATATTCCAATGTGGATTGAGATCATCATACAAGTCTGATCCATGAGATTTAGAAAACTTTTGATATCTATCACTAGAATAAGAAGAACCAGCTGGAAAGCCCTGTGAGGTGATTCCAGGTTCCAGATGCTGTAGAATCCTTCACCAAGGTGGATATGATCTGGGTATATCCTGAGGTAAGGTATGTGTTGTTTATGGTTTGAAGTAGCTCACCTGTATGCTTATTTGCTATCAAATGGTTTGTTAACATAGGGTCTGCTTGATTATTGGTTTATGTGGCTCAAAGACTAGGGGGATCACTAGGAAAATGATTAGCTTGCCTATCATGATGAATCTTATGAGATATTGAAAGATCCCAAATGTCTGTCATATCAACCTGGCACAGGTTCTGTCCATGATGAAAGTTTTCAACAAAGTTGTTGTTAAACCATATATTTCAGTCTACATACTTAACGGGTTGGGTTTTGATTGGAATTCAGAGTTTGGTGGTACTAACTCTATTATAAAGAATAGTAATAGTTACCAAAAGAAATTCCATCAAATGATTTTGGATAATTTGGAAGGCATTTGAGATCAAGATTGGTAGAAGATGGGATTAGTCATTATAAAGCTTTAATGTCTTATCCCTTATCCTGTTTGTATTATTTGATGTTGATTCCTCAACACATGTACTACTACTAGACAATGTGTGTTATAAAAATGTGGTTGTATTCTATGATCAGTCATGAGACCAGTCTAATATACATATATTGAATGATGGTCTAACACATTTAATTTTCAATGAAACCCACATTCAGTCAAGGTCCAAAGATAGCAAAATCCAAAAGAAAGCTTTCTATAGTTACCATTGTCAAAGGCTTTATATATGAATTTCAACCCACACCTTCAAATTGGATGTTCTTGTTCAAAACTCAATATTTCAAGCTCCTAAGACCATCTCCAGAATACTGATCAACCTGGTTGCTTTCCATCTATAGATTTTCTAAAAGATCTGATCAGAACTTTGGTTTTCTTTTCATTTCCTTTGTTTTTTTATTATCAAATCCAAAATTTCCACTCAAAAACAACACCTGGACAATCCATGGACAACTTCAGGTTAATATTTGAGATCTCAAATTTGCCCTCAAATGTTCAGAATCTTGAGTTTTGAGTCAGATGTTCAGAATCTTGAGTTTTTGAGTCAGGACATTGGATTTGGGCATTTGCAGTATCCGTCTGAAATTCATAAGCCTTTAACAGTAGCAATCATAGATCTGAAAACTGCTCTATGCAGCCAACAAATTTGCCTTGGATTTTTTAATCTGAGGTATCATCAGACTCAAATCCTTGGACAAAATCTTTTCAAGAATTTGATGAGATATTTATTTTGTTGGTGCAAAACAATGCCTTATACAAGCTCTGTCCGAGGATTTGCCTTCAATGATGCCTCAGATTCTACTGTGGTAGCTATACAAGTAAGGCCTTTTTTGCCTAGGTTCAGGAAATTTGAAGGGAGATGTTGAACTCAAGGATATCAAGATCCCATGCAACAATTATCCAAAAACTGTGAAAAGTTTTCTTTCTTTACTTTAGAAATCAATTTATGTCTAACCTGCCATAAATTGAATGTCAAATTGATTAAACCAAGGTTCAAGGAGGATTTGCATTTCAACAACAATGAGAAAGAAAGAATACTTTCAAAGCCTGACAAAAAAGAACTGAGAGAAAAACAGAGAATATCAATGAGGATAGATTTGGAAAAAGGTTTGTCAGAAAAAATGAATTTACAAAATGGTTAATTTGAGTTTAGAAGACTATATTTGAAATGAATGTAAGGAGTGTAGATTTAATGCGTTTGGAAGAAAAATTCACAGAGAGAGAAAGAGAAGACCATAACTGAAACAAAGAAATTCGATCAAGATGAATAAAAACACAAATCGAATGAAAAGGTGAGGAATAGAAAAATAGACTAGGACAGCTGACTGTGGCTTTCGATAGTAAAACAAATGGACAAATAAGAAGGAAAAACAGTTGAATTGATGCATTGAGTTGAGATATAAAATTGAGACTCCAAATTACACTGTAAATGTTGGATAAGACTCAGTAGATAGAAGCATTTGAGCTAGTAGAAGATGATAAACTAGATGTTGATGATGTTGTTGTTGATGTTGATGTTGTTGATGCTGATGCTGATCTCTTTCGATGTAAAACAAGGTGAAATCTTGACATGATTGTCACAGGTTCTTTAAATCCGAAATCATCTCTTTTTAATCGGGTGCCTTTTGCTTTGAGGGATCGACGAGAGGTTAATAGAGTTGGATGAATAGCTTTAGTATGATCGATTTGAGTGACAGTTCTGCTTTGAATCGAATTCGCTGATGGAGGCAATGTTGCGTTAAGATTCGTGGATTCTGATCGAACCATCTTGACCGGATTTGTGTTGATTAGACGAGGTTTGAGCAGAATGAGATAGTGCCGTTGAAGTGGAGGTGTTCAAGTTTTCGCCAGGTGATTAGATATTTGGATTACAATCTTCACTTTCTTGATGCGAGAGAACTGATGGGTTGATTTCGACAGACAAACCGTTCTTGTGATCCGTATGTGAATGGTGAGATTGAAATGGTACAATTTTCTATATGCAGGCCTTTTACAATGTTGGGCCAATCCAGTCCCGAATGCTGAATGGCTGATGAGTCGGAATAAGCAGTTTTTCAAAATGGCTTGCCTCGGAGATATGTTCTGTAAAGCTAATCGAGTAATCTATCCCCAGTTGCGAAAAAAGAATAAGCGGTTAGACTGAGGATCCTCTCATGCGTTCTCGGCAATTAGAGATAAAAAAGACAATTTCGGATCAAAGGATTGGCTCACAATTCATTCACAAAGATACGTCAGTTACTCAATCTGCTAGTATGCTCACAGCTCATGTGCGCCGAACAAAGAAGCACAGCATGATGAATGGACAAAAAAACTGGAAGAGAGGAGAAATTTTGGAGTTGATCGGAGAGTTTGTACAACCTTTCGAAACAAAAGCCAATTTTTTCTCTACCATCACTTCTAAAAAGGATCCTCGAGAGATCTCACACCCGACACAGCATCGAGGAAATATTATGTAAAGCCAAGGCTGGCCAAGTGGAAGTTGAAGAGTCTGGTATGTATAAGTATCACATGATTGTTTTCATGGAAAGACCCTCTTTCTTGCTCCACCAAAACCGCCGAAAAGTTAAGAGAACGTGACCTCAATATGTTCAATGTAGGCGGAGCAGGCGGAGCTTTTGCTGAATTCTTCACCAAATAGAATCCTTCACTGGTAGAGTCCTCCCACGGTAGAATTCTTCACATCCGCCTATAAAGTTTGACTTGGAAGCCTCCGGATAGGTCCATCCGGATCATGTCTTGTTAAAATGCAGACCCAAACATCTACATAGCCCAACCGCTTGGTCAAGTGTCCTCTCTCTCTCTCTCTGCCTCACCTACTGACGAGTGTGTACAGCAGTCAGCCCACCTCATGTTACGAAACTCACATGGGCTCCACGCTCAGCGCCGGCTCAGGTATGTACCTCTCTTTAAGCAACTTTCTCAAAAACATAGATGCCTAGGCTAGCAAAACAGAACAACACGACTTTTACACCAGCCAAAGCACGGATATCACACAGCAATGTAGTCAAGTAGAAAACACATGAATCACCCAGAAATGCTCACACAAGCAACACGGCTACCGCAGAATATATGTACCCACCAACTCCAGTTCCCCCCAATTCCTGCTTTCCTCAACAGGAGCTTGACCTCATGTGAAATTTGCCCAGGCTAAAAATGCATAATCTTGTTTTCCAAACCTTTTATCAATCACCACAAATCCTTTCACCAAGCCTTCATTTTAAAGTTTTGCTTGACATTGCTCTATCTTGTTTATGGATTTTGGACATATCCTTGGAAACTATGATCAGAATCACCCAACAAACACTTGTCAGAATGTGAATAGCATTCAACAACAAGAGGCTGATCTATTTCAGACCTTCAACACAAAAGGTGGCAGTAGAATAAACAGCATCAAAACCCTGTGTAACTGCTTCACAGCAATCATACCCTACATCAGCCCCCTCTTCTTAACAAAGCTCTCAGATTTTGGCAGGTCAGGCAGAGAACTTGATCAAAAAAAACGGACACACTATGTACCCCATTGGTGGTGCACTCCCACCCCCCAGTCTACCAGTGGAACAAACTCTGGTGTGTATCTTACCACTGAAAGCCTTCATTTGATTCCAACCCAGACCTTCCTGTCCCCAAAGCCCTGCCAACCCCCTCAATGCCCGGTCAATCAACAACTTGGTCAGGCATCAAGGACAGCAACTGAGATCCTGCAATGTAAAAACCAATTATGCCAAGCACCCAGTAAAAACACACTGGAACTGTCAGGGTGGCTGTCTGATTTACTCACAATTGGTCTAGTCAATCAATTGTACTGCACTCCTGACAAGTATTCTGCCGGTTACGGGGAATAGGTATGTACTTTTCTGTTCATCGACACAGATGAAGTACGTTAGTAACTGTGTATTTTGAATATATAGGTTCAACAGAGCCAGAATGATCAAAGGGCAGGCACACTGTTAGTTACCAGGTGCAACACTGGACCAATTACGCTAAAAAGGCATCAGAGAAGCTGGTAGTGTAACTTTTTTACTCATCTACATCATTGCTGTCTGTTAGATGTGGTGATGTACGCTACCAGATTGTTGAAGTTGTGTTAACTTGGTCTCACTATGTTTGCAGCATTAGCTGGGTTTGTACATCTGCATTAACAGCCATTGAGGTTTGAAAATAGTTGTTAGCTTGGGTCAGCATACCCCTGCGCTGACTGAATGACTTCACCTCTTGAAGGTGATGAAGATCCCTGATTTCATACTTTGGGTCCAACTGATAGTGCTGATAGGATATATTATGAGATAATCATATATCCTGTCAACCCCAATGTGCAAGTTCAACTTGTGGTTGGTTCACATCTGCCTCACACCTTGAGTTCTCACACCTTTTTGTTCAAGCTGGTCTGGAAAGACCCCCATTGGTCATACTATTACTTTACCCTCCTCAAAAGATTTCCATTGTTGCTTTGCCATGGTGGCACCCCCGTCTCAGAGGAGCTCTTCAGGCTAAGCTCCTGGTCCTTCATATAGATCTAGTTGTACAATAACCCCACTCAAAAAAACTCCTTGATTTGCACAGCTCCTGATATCTGTTTCTCCTTGCCTCTTACATAAGGCACAAAATGTGAGACTTGTCCATGAGAATGGTTGTCTTCAAAAAGGAACCTAGAGCAAGATATCAAAGCTCAATAGGAAACCATTCCCCTAACTTGTCCAATACAACCCAGGAAAACCTTGACAAGGCATTTCTTGGCCAAGTGATGACGCAAACAACAAAGACACAAGCCATAGTGTCACACCCCAGCAGGTCTCGAAGAGAACCTCTGATATAAGGGAAGGACCTGAGTTCCCCCTCTGTTCATCCCTTTGCTTGTTCCATCTTCCTCTACTTCATATTCTCTTGTTTAGGTTCCTCTTGAATCCATTCTCACTTACAATCACATTCTCCTTGATAGCCTTGAAGTTTTAACTACATAGTCCTTTTCCAAATCCACCCACCTGCCCGTCAGGGGTAGAACTTGTAACATTTTAGCGTACAATACTCTTCTAACCATAGGTATCTACTAGGGGGAGAGGTAAGACCCAAGAGCCTCTCTTGAAACCTGAGATTCTCTCCCTACACTTTACCTACGGGATGAGAAGAGGTCTCCTTGCCTCCAAAACTAACTCCTCACCGGAAGCTCTCCTCTAGAAATAGGAGAGCTTCGAGAGGAGTTTTCTGCCCGTACCCTTAAGATGCCTACATATGAATATTCCTTAACATCCCTTTAAGGGATATTATATATGGCTGAGTAGCTATAAGACTATGAGAAGAACTTCCTACATCAAAATGTACTTGATTGTGAAAAGTCTTCTTCTTCTTTTGTTGCTAGTAAAAGTAAAAACAGACACCAAAATCATGGATCAGAGCCTGAATCTCAAACCAAAGATACTAACAAGAAGAAGACAAATAAACAAAATCCAACTCAAGAAGAAAGTCCAGAAGTTGAACCACCTGTATGTCTCTTGCTTCAAGTCCATTCTATCATCATCTTGAGAATTCTCATATCTTCTTTTCTTTAACTTTTATGTGCACCTATCAAGAAAGTCTAAAGATCCAGAGCAGGTGGATCTCACTTGCAATTCTGACAACAAGGATGATTTAGTGCAAAAGCAAGCCCATCCCACTACCAACCAATCCAATCTTGAGGGGAGACATCTCAACCCAAGGCATCTATTGTGGCAGTGTGATGTGCTGGTCACCAGCACATTGGAATTCACCAGACAGACTACTATGTGGTTTTGCACCACAGGGTCCTGGCCGTATTACATCCACTGTTCAAAATTGCTCCGCAGTCTTTTTGCGGCTGGTGCCAGCTGTTTTCTCCTGCCCAATCATCATGCCTGTGCTGCACTTCATTCCAATTTTATGAATGCAGAGCAGGGGCATTGCCATTTTTGATACACTGTGCTACTTTGCAGCACAAAGCACAGTGAAATCCCCAAAAGTCCAATCATCTGTACAGTGCACTCTTGTGGAGAACTGTGCTGCCCTGGCATCAGGGGTTGCTATAGTACCTTTCTTTGTGCTACCTAGTTATAGGTACTGTACCTGTGGCAGAATTGCTTTAAAAAATGCTGAAATTTTGCTCCCAATTTTCATGACAACATTTGCATTTCTGGAAATGCTCACAATGTTTGCAATTGTCAAGAGAGATACTCAATTCCTGGTTCATTAAAGAGCTTAACTCAGTCCCCAGTGCTTCCATTCAGGCAATAAGGCTGTCCCTAGCCACACCAAGAATCTATGTGGCTTTGTAGAAAATAATTCAACTCAACAACAACGGCTTTGTGAGATGATCTGAAGCTTTGAACCATCATCAGGACAATTAGAAAGAGGTTTTGGCTTTCTAATGAGCCCAAAATTGAGCCCTTTGACCAAGAATTGTAAAATTATGAGCATTTCCAGAAATGCAAATGTTGTCATGAAACTTGGGAGCAAAATTTGAGCATTTGTTCCAGGTGTACATTTGATGATCATGGGGTTTTTTGTTAGTACATTCAACAATACAAACAATACCTAGATTGAACTCTCAACACTGGGAACAACATGCATATTTCTTTGTATTATTAAATCTGGATTCACCCCTCCCATTTATATTATTAAATCTGGATTCACCCCTCCCAAAAAATCTCTATACCCTGTCATGACAGCAGGGCTTTAGGAAAATTGGGTGACTGAACACCAGGACCTTTTCTCACATTAGTGTTGTGATGGGTAGCATTGAATGATGGGGATTCATTCACTACCTTCCGCCCATCTATTTATATCTTCTTCTTCCCGCTCTCTTTGATGTAACCCTTTTCAGAAAGCACTCACAAGTGCAATCACCCCTTGTACCTGCCCAATACTATGTACTTTTCTAAAATCATGTTCCAAAAGCATCAACCACTGAGGGCAACCGTTATTCAAATCTAACCAATCCCCCATCATTACAAAAAGCACCCTTTTCTGCCACATAAATTGTTCAAATCCGCTAATTGTGAACCAGGTTTTGCTGGCACTGTTGAAACCATTGGGTCTCACCTTTGCTTTTAAAGCATTGACATTATTTGCTTACTCAACTTTTTGCATTTGTCTTTGTGTGAGATTCTCTCAAATGGTCCTCAAAGAAACCACTAAATGTGCAGTTAAGCTCTTTTCAAACCCACCACTTTATTTTCCTTTCTCTTCTATGAATTCAATTATATCTATTGAACCTTGTAAAGAGGTTAAACATCAGCTTTTCATTTCTCCCAGTCATCATCTTACCAAAACTTATCAAGTGATCATTGTGTGTATTCAAATTCAAGAAAGATACAAGTCTTTAAATTTGAAAAAGTAAAAGCAAAATGCCATTGTTCTGAAACCCCAAACCCCATTCCATGAAGTCCCTTATATCAGAGATATTAGGGCCTATACAATCTCTATGTGGTCCTGTTTGGTCTCCTTTTGCTTCAAATCAATCCAATCTGTTGTTACAAAAAATTGTATCACCAACACACATTGCTTGCGGTCCGTTATCCTCATTTTATAGCTCTCCATTCCTCAAAGCGTAATCTTTGACTGATCAGTTGTCCTGTTGAGGGACGATTAACTGAGATAAAAAGACAGTTTATTTTCCAGTACCACAGACCCAATATATATCTGTCTCACCCTTTTGACACCCATCTCTTCAATTATCTTAATACCTCAACGTCAATGGTATGATCAAGCTCAAAACAAAATCCGCTCTGAAACTATTAGATAGCCTTAAGTATTTTTTCCTTCTCATCTGGAATTTCTTGTCGCGAAGATTTATAGACTAGGCTTCAATTAGTTCTTCACCAGGTAACGCCCACGAAGCGACACAGCTCTCGAAGTCAATTGAATGAGGTCTGCTTCTGGTGTCCACAAAGCTTCCAACTGAGAATCAAAATCCGAGAGTTAGTCAACTTGACAACTGCTGAAGGTATGAAAAGAGTCTTCTTTCATATTCGCTAATCATAAATAGGGTTTTTCCTGAACGATAAAGAAACTCACAAAACGAGATTAAGTAAATACGAGGTGCAACCGAATTCATCATAAAAGAAGCGTGTCTTAAGCATATATTCCTTCTAGTTCCAAGTGAAGGAAACACGCGCGGTACTGAATTCAAGAGACAGAAACTCGGTAACTCGTCCATCAATTGGGATAGACACGGACGGATTTTTCAATCACACTCACAGGAAACAAAGATAATTGAAAGAAGAGCGGTAATCGAAGCCAGAGCAAAAGTCCTTTGGCAGTAGTAGAAAGTCAAGAATACGCAAATAAGTCAAAACCCCCAAAGACTATACATTTCTAGAATTGAATCAGGAGCTTACTCCATTGTCAAAGCCATCAATCGAAACGTGATCTCCCTCGTTGTTTTCTTAAGTCCCGACCTTGTTTGTAAGTGAAGTGCTGAAATGATGACCGAGCTTATGGTAACATTGAAAGCTAAAGCAGCCGTGAGCCAGGCTAAGTAAAAGCCCGTCAATTCTCCACCTAACTGAGCTCTATGTCCAACTTCCTCAGCTTCTTTCACAGATTCAAGTAGGAAGAGAGTAATTGTTCCTATACCTCCACCACAAGTCAAGAGTCCCAGGATAGAAGCAATGATCACCCAGGTTTTGGAGTTTTTGAGAAGTGCATAAGCAATGCGCGAGAAGTGAATTCTGAGAGGTCGATAAAATCAAATCATATCCTTTCCAAACGACAGATTTGAGAGTGGTATACTCACTGAACCATCAAAGCCACACAGAGTGTGAAGCCCGTCCGAATGGCTTCGAAAATATAATTACTATTGATTTTCCCGACATTTTGCGATACTAAAGAGGCATATAAGATCTGAGTGGAACGAAGTCACATAAAAATTTCTTCCTAGAACACTCGATTCGATTTCGACACCGAAAAAGGACTTACCCAGATCTCTGCCGCGACTTGAAGAAGATGAAGTCCAAACGAAACTCTAGCAAGAGCTTTGACACACCCATCCTTCCTCGCGTCGGTTTTCCGTACTACACAGAACCGCAAGAACTGGCTGATGACGATACCAGATAAGAAGCATAAGAACGGTTCCATAGTTGAGATTTGGATGTTGTGAGGAAAAGTGTTCGCCATCTCGGGTGCCATGTTGTCGATCCTTTACTGAGTTCAAAGCCAGACTCTCTCCAAGAAGAAGTTCAGTTCAGTCAATGAGAAAACTATCGTAGCGTACAACCAAGTCCTCGCGCTCTCGAAAGCTTACATTCGATGTCCTAGAGGAATTATGACGATTTTATAGTTAAGAAATGAAACAGTACATCTAGAAACCATTTTTTGAAAATCGTATATGACACTCAATTTGTAGATTGATGACCGAAATCGGTTCTACCATCTTGATCTCAAAGCCAACAGCCTCCGCAAAGAACGCGAAACTTCCGCCCAAAAATATGACACCTTCTCGCCTTACGGCTTTGATTGTCAGTGCCTCGAGATTTTCCAAGCGATTGGCATTAAGCTTGATCTATCACTCAGCAATGATACACATTGAAACCTCTACTCCCTCTCCACGTACGGTATGCCTTCCTCAACTTCAACACATCCCTTGCTGTTTATATGCAGAGTAATCACGAATCTTATACTTCGAATCAAGAGTTCACTTCTTCTTGAGAACACGTAAAGAATGAGTCTGACAGCTTTCCATCGGTCAATTTCGTCTTCAATGGCTTGACCAAAGCTGTGAAAATCAAATTGGTGATGCAGCGTTCTAGTAGCTTGTCCTAATATTGACCGTTGGTAACCCGTCAAATTTTCGAACCGGGGAAAGACAAATATGAGGAGAAACTATGAAGGTGGAGGTCTGAATTGATCGGCAGATCCCTACCATCTATGACGTGAAGATAAACATAATCCGAGGTGATAACTGATAAACGGCTTAAACCCTGAAAGAGATGGGATACTATGATGATAAACCGAAATGATTTTTGATCAGGAAGAAAATGCTCTTTCCATTCTACATATTTGTTCCGAACCGCGTGCGCTCAGGAATCCTTTTTCCACCAAGTTGGAATATGTGAGGATGAGCGTCCCTTTGGGCCTCAAGGGGATGTCGAAAAGACACGATTTCTTACGAAAATCATATCAGCCGGTGTTGCTATGGAGGGGATTCAAAGTCGATGCGATAAAGTTGACGTTGGCCGTAAATTGTAGAAGAGGAATGTGGATTGACATTAGCTTAACAAAGCCCTCCCTGGGCGGTCGCGTCGAGGGCTTTGCTGGGCTTTGTTTCTGTGGTCTGAAGACTGACACCAGTGACAGCCAGGGATGCAGCAGTGAGTATGAGTATACCCAACTCATACTCACTGAGGACGGGTTTTGGCCCCGTACGCGAGTACATGTACTCCCGGGGTTGACTGTATGAGTCGTACTCCATCTCGGAAAACTCAGTAGTATGTGTAAATAGAATACACGTACTCAATCTCGCCCTTCATCCGGGCCAAAGACTCACTAACCCACATTCACCGGCCACCTTGTTTGGATGAGTATATACTCACCATATACTCAGCCAAACAAGGCCTCCACCAGATCCCCATTCATCGATCAAATCCAGATTATTTATCAACCATCGATTGGATATCGATATCCACCTTCTCAAGATACCGCCACCACCTCGATTCCTTAAATTCAATATCGAATCTCAATCGACCACGTCTTGCCCACTTCCACACCTTCCACCTTTGCCATACCTCTTCAGGCCCTATCCTCAATCCATCCATCCGTTTGGCCTTCGTAATCTCGATGAGTGGCTTGACGTTGTAGACTTGACCTTCTAGACTAGACATTTGAATCATATTTATCTCTTAATTCATTTCATTAACATCAATCGACCCATGGGAACAGAATCTATAGATCCTGGTGGCCAGATCGAGGTGTTGTGGCCGGCGTTGGCTTGGGTGAATGCTCATATCGAGGCTTTTGGGCTTTTGGATTGGTCGTATGACCTCAGGTAAGCAATTTCGCTACCATATTTATAATTTTCTTTCTCGTACAACTCCCCCTTACGTTTCTCCCATTTCTCTTTTCCCTTGTTGGAGATTCTTTTACTCTCACCCGTCCATTTTTCTTAATCGTGATTCTCTTCCCTTCTCAATCGTTAGACCTTCCGAATACCTAGCCAGCATGCCTCGAAATATGGCCAAATCACCTCCCCCCGCCTTGGTGTCACCCTATGCTCGACGTGTGACCCCAATGTCCGCGTCGCGGGTCGTCTCAGCCTCCTGTATAACGCCGACGTCTCGTGTTGGTGTTGGAATGGCTTCACGAGTCTCATCCTCTTCCAACCGAGTCGATGCGACACCAAGATCGCGACCGAAATTGTTCATCGTGCAAGATACTACGGATGTTGATGGCGAGGAGGCGACGTTGAGATCTCACCGACACCGATCAGATGTTTACCTGTATTTTGATGTGAGTAATTCAACCGGTCTCATCAACACCTAGCTTTCATGCTGATTCAGTGCGTATTTGACCAACGTACACTGTTAGGAGCCCAACAAGTCGCCAGACGAGTCCAAGGGTGAGGGTGTGATGTCGTACCCTTGTCTTCACTGTCCGTAAGTCAACCTACGGATAGCAATGCCCATACTTATTGTAAGCTAACTTTAACTGCGTATTTGCAGTGTTGTGCTTTCGATTTCCGGCCGTCCGAATTCAAACTTGCACAAGCACAGACGCAAGTGCCCCGGCTTGGCGCTTGCTTGGTACCACCACGAACCTGGAGCCATCGAACCGGAAAGCGATCCCATTGTCGCCGCGGATCGAAAGAAAGAGTTACGAACCCTGCTCGTCGGGGCCGTCATTAGCAAGAATTTACCCTTCTCTATCTTTGAGGGCGTGTTAATGCAGAAGGCGCTTCGCGCTATTGCACCATCGTTTTATTGGCCGGCTCGGATGGCTGTCAAAGCTGACTCAGAGGCTCTTTTTTTGGATCTGGAACAAAAACTGTTGGACGAGGTTGCTTCGGTTCCTGGTTCAATTTCGACTGCGACGGACTGTTGGACCAGCGCCGACTTTTCTCATACGTACATGGCCATCAATGGCTTTTTCTTCAACTCGGAAGGCAAATTCTGTCGTCGGCTCCTGGCGTTCAAAGTAAGTGCCCTTCTGAAAAGAAATTACATATGCGAACGGAATTGGAGCCTAATGAGCCTTGTTTTGCAATGTGGCAGAAGCTCGAGGGGAAACATACTGGTGACAACCTGGCCAAGGTTTACTGGAAGGCGCTGGAGCATGTTGGCGCACTTCGGAATCACTACTTGATCACCGGGGACAATGCCTCTTTGAACCGTGCGATGGCAAAGCTTTTAAGTGACCGTTATGCCACTCTTGGAATCCACTGGCCGTTTGAATCGAGGTTCCATGGCTGCATGTGCCACGTGATCAATCTTGTGGCAAAGGACTTCTTGGATGGTATGGGTCAGCTAACGGACGAGGACATTGCCGCATATGAAACCTCGGGGATGGCCGAACCACGAGCTTCTTTTGAACCTGACGAATTACCTATCACGGGCGACTACAACGTACCTGTCACCGAATCCTGGCCTCAAAACTCTTTTTCGCTTTCTCAGTCCTCCCTCGAGGTCCACGGCCCGACCCAGACCCAAGATACCGATGTCGACCTGTCCCATCTGAACAACGAAGAAACCCTTGCCCCAGAAGATTCACTCTTAGAAGACTCGCCAACTGTCCTCCTCACCGCCCGCAAGAAAAAGTCGACGATATTCACCCGCATCCGTGCTTTGGATACTCACATCAGAAAAAGTCCTCAGGAGCTTGAGTCACACATCAAGATCCGCGATGAAGTCGAAGATCCGCAACTTCTTCCCCTCAGCTGCCCTCCTACTCGCTGGAATTATTTCTATTATGTGGTAAGTGCCCTGCTTTTGGTCAATGAGTCTTTTAACTGGTTCCAATCTGACCATTTCTTACCATTCCATGATTCATTTCAGGTCCAACGAACCCTCAACCTCAGAAAGTCACTTGAACTCTACACTGCGGACCCGAAAAGGACTCACCTGGCCATCTCAAAAGCGGACTGGTCAACTATCGAGTATATGCACCCTGTTCTAGAGATGTTTGAAACTGCGACTCAGATTTTTCAATCCAATGACGCAACTAAGCAGTTGGTTCTTCCTGTACTCTGGGCGCTTCAAACGGTTTTGAAGAAACACCAGAGTGTTCCAGGAGCTTGGGGCCGAGCTTGCAAACGAGCGGAAGACAAACTTGTGAAGTATCTCGACCGCGAAGAGTGCAACATGCAGACCTTGGTTGCAACTCTCCTGGATCCGGTCCAGAGAGACTCAATCTTTCGTAATCATCTAGAGGTAGAAGTCCAGGCCAAGCGCTGCCTTCGAGACGAGTACAACCTTTGGAAGCCCAGCCCCACGGAAAGTGGCCGCGAGACCCCTCCTCCTGTTCCTGCTCAGCCGAAAAAAACCACCGACAGGAAACTTCAAGAAATCTACTCTCTCTTGGGTACCTCGGCAATTCAACCTTTGAGCCATTCCAGTCATGAAATGGACAAAGTCACGCGATACTTACAACGCCTGGATCCTGTGCTCCCCAATGAAACGATTGGGGAGTTCTGGGTGGTTAGTAACTTTCCTAATCCTTTGAGCGCCCAGAACCAAGCTGACCACCGTCCTCATTTCAGCGTATGTCCAAGCCTTCGGGACTACCGGTCTTGGCTCAGATAGCCCTTCAACACCTCATGATCGCGGCAGCTGGCGCATCAGTCGAGAGGGTGTTCTCTATCTCGGGCAACATAGCCGTCCCTTCCCGAGGCCGCCTCGACCCTGAGACGATTTGCCACCTTGTACTCGTCCGACACTGGCTTACAAATTGGGAGGCGACTGTGAATGTGGAGGATGTGGCTTAGACATGTTGATTTTATTTGGTCTGCTTTGACTCTGAGTCACGCGTTGTTTTCAAAGGGCCCTGCCGTTTTGTCCTCTATTGTTTTTCCCTCTGAACCGTGGTTCTTGTTAACAAATGATTATCCCCTCTCTTACAAAATGATCTAACTGTGGTTCTTTTTAACACATGATTATCCCCTCTCTTACAAAATTATCTAAGGAATTTTAAATACAATTTGATATCACCTCCCCAAACCAGTTTGCTACCCCATTCCGATTGAGTGTACTCATTACTCATGAGTACACTCGATCTTACTCACAATGAGTAGACTCATAGTGAGTAGTCTCTCACGTGAGTCTACTCACTCAGTGAGTACTTAGCCACTGTAGTACTTACATACGGGGCCAAGCTGAGTCTTGAACTCATGCCTGACTCTAACATCAATTGAAAGTGGAGTCCGGGACTCTCTCTGTAACTCACGTGTCTCGGTACTCAAGTGGAGTACCGAGTCAGGTTGCGCGGCAAGTGAGTCGGAGTAGACTCACTGCTGCATCCCTGGTGACAGCTGCCACCAGCCAACTCCGTCTCTGTCACTCATCTTTCCCGTGACCGGCTCAGCTCATTTCACAGGTCATTCTTCCGATGGAAATGGCTCAACACGCTGGGGCTCTGTTGTAAAGCTCCTTTTTTTCGCACTTTCTCATATCAAGGTCCTTTGGGCAACCACTTAACTGTTTTGTTCACGTTCATGTCTCTGAGTGATTTGATGATTTTGTACATTTCAATCTTTTCATGGAATGCGGCAACAATATGCGCTTCTGATCCAAACACAATCTTGTGATCAGATATCAATGAAAATATTATGATCTCAATCCAGGTATGGGAAGTCGGAATGATGGTGGGGAATATAAGGGGGATTGAGATATGTGTGTTTATTATTAGTGTAGGTTTTTCATGACACACTGTGTTGCTGTTTTATTACATACTATGTCATGGTATTTTTCTTTCTCGCATTGGTTGTTTTGTTGGCTTTCTCGATGACGTAGCATTCGAGAAGTATTTCTTCTTTATCGAACTCAGAACTGTTATCCTTAACAACTCCCTGCTTCTTTAGATTTTGACTTTCGAATTCAATCTTCTCAGTCTCACAAGTGGTATTTAAATCATGCGCTCACACCAGTCCTGAGTTGATGGAACTTGACTACTGGCACTGCACCTCGAAATTGCCGTCGCCGACGAATCCTCCATTTTACCTTCTAGTCAAGGGGGATGTACGCTTGCCATTCGGATTGCTCGGTCGGCGGTCTTCCCAGATACTGTTTACCCCCAACACGAAGTGGAGTCTGAGGAAATCCTGATCTTTCCCGATCTGAGGCTTCAGGGGTTTGTTTATAATTATTTGCCTAGAAAGAATCGAAAAGCTGAGTCACATGTTTTGGAGGACGTTGCCTCCATCAGCAGGGTTCACTCCTGAGCTTCGAAACCTGAACTTCAAAGAAATGTCAGATAAAGACGTGGATCGAATTCTTTCAGATGCGATCTTAGAAGATCACGACCACAGCGACGATCAAAACGCTCCTGTGGTTGCAAAGCTTCTGCAACAATCACCACAGCTGGAATTATCAAAATCTTCAAAGAGGCGAGACTGAAACGAGATGTAAAGAAAAAGGCGTCACGAGGTTCTTCTTCCCTTGACAACCAGACAAGTCGACAAAGTCTCTGAACTATTTCTGCATGTCGAAAGGTAAAACTTCATGCATCCGAACTTTATTCACGAAGCTCAACGTACAGAATGAAACAACGTTTGAACACGTTGAGGGTCGAGAAGTCAGCAAAGATATATAAACAAATCAAAGACGGCAAGGAGGTCCTGTCATCCAATCTCAGTCGCCCATCAGTTTGTTACCAAAATAAAATCAAAAACAATCCATTCGTTCATTAATACTCTCTCTTCAGTTCTAACGTTACAAAACATGAACTCCCGACACTCATTTCTCCTCACACTCACTCTTCTCTCTCTCACCATCATAAACCCTGGTCTTTGTGTCCCTCAACAACCAGTTGTGAAAAAACAGACCACATCTGATCCTAATTCAATAAATTATGATACTTATGATACCAACACGAATACCGTTAGTCATACTTTTGGTCCTAGTGAGCAACTATGTGCTTTAACTTGGTCAAATGAAGCTATTCGTGGTAAATTTCAAACCACAACTACACCACCTACTTTCTGTAAGTTTTTTTCTTACTATCGTCTTTGATTAAATTCACATGAGTTGATCTCTGACCCATTTGAATCTTCTCTTTGGATTCCATAGATTGTAAGAATTCTGGTGGTTTAAGTTATAGATGTGGAGGTTGTGGATTAGTTTCAAGTCCAAATCCAATTGGACCATCAGATAGAAAAAGAATGACAACAATGAGTTGAGTATTTGTAAAAAGAAAACTTCATCTTATCTTGAATTCATACTCACTCACGATTTTGAACTTTTCTTTCTTTCTTATGTAGGTGGTAAAGCATATAGTTGTACAGCCAAGAATGAAAGAGGTATTTCAGTTCAAGTTGGTGATTCGACTTGCATTGCTTATAGTATTGCAGATGGTGGAGCTGGTACAATTCGTAAGTTTTTCAACTCTATCTGTGAAATCATCCAAACCAAATAGATATTAAAGATGTTGAGAAACATTTGTTTTTTACTTTAGATTGTTTGAGTCCCACTTTTGAGTACTTGGAATGTTCAATCGGTGACAACTTTCCAGCATTTGACAGAATTTGTTAAGCCAATCTCTTTCAAAGACTCTTGATGACTACCTTTTCACTAATCTTTCTTCTCGTTTTCTTTCTGATTTCCATCCTTACAGCTTGCACTGGTTGTCTTTTGTATGAAGCAGATAAGAGTGACCAAGGTGGAATCTTCAGAACCAGTGCTCCTTGAACCTCCTTGAATTTCACAGTCAATCATACTAAACTATCAAAAAAAACTCATCTTTTCTATCCTGTTTTATCAAAACTTCTAACCCAAAAAAATTACCTAACATAAGATTTATCACCTCATAACTTGTACACACTCTTTTCTTTTCCAAGTTGCCTTAAATGTGTTTTCCAAATATGTCAATATATGTTACAAATTCAATGTGTTCAAATACAAAAATCAATTTGACCCTCTCTTGTTCTTCACTCCTTTTTACTATAGGACAAATGTAAGGATGAAATGAGGCCACATTGAAGTCGATGGATCGACCCAACAAAGAAGCGCCTTTATCATTAGATGTCAACCCAACTTTGCTTGATTGTCTTCCTCTCCTCTCCGAGTCATCATTTTTGAGTGGATTGAAATTTCCATTCAGGGATTTTGAATTCTTTCAAATCATCAAAAAGCTATGAGACAAAAGTTATAGAGATCCACAAACACTTTTTTGAATACACATGAGGAATACCATCTTTTTTGATAACAAAATCTAATCATCACAAGCTGTACAATTGACCCATCATTCTTTAAGGGGTAGGAGATTTTTACACCGACCCGTTTACACCGAATGAGTCTGTGTAAAAACGGGTCAGTGTAAAATTCAAACAGGGGGGGGGTTCTTAGAAATTTACACATGTTTTTTTTTTTTTTTCGGTGTTCAAAAAAGTGATGTGGAAAATTCTGTGTAAAAATCTCTTGGCCGGTGGTAACATGTAATTTTACATTGAAAGTTTTACACGTGTTACGCCTGTGTAAAAAAAGGCGGTGTAAATATCTCGGGCCCTGACCCGAGTTGTAATTTTACACTGGGTGGCTTACACCGAAAATTCATGTGTAAGGTCGGGTCGGTGCAAAAATGCCCTTTGGCCAAGCTGACATGCAATTTTACACGCACGTCTTACACCCACCACATACCTCCAACGCATATCCTTGAATGTCGAATACCACACAACAAACATCAGTTCCGTATATATATACCTGATCGAAACCGTTATCAAAGGAAGAATGCCCAAACCGAAACGCAACGATACCCTTATACCTCGTTACTTTCTCACGTATCCATCAACATAGAGTTTCCGCATCGGAAATTGGCAACCTCCACTTTGGGATTTGTCTCCCGGAATTCATCACGAACATTTAAATCGTCAATTGCCCTCGTTGACGACCATCCCTAGATTTTGTCAATTCCTCAAAAGCCACCGCTATTTCGTTGGCTTATGAGGTCTTTCTCGACGCTTTCGGCCATTCCGTTGTCGACTTTTGAAGGAATTCTTATCGTTCTTAACGCTTTCGGAAATTATCATTCATATCTATCAAGTGCTCATCATGGGTCATACACTTTCCCTTCCATCGCCCGTCTCTTCGGAACATCCGGGAGAAAAGCGAGAGTTGTTGACTTCACATATCCCATCAGAAGTCCTTTCTATTAGAGGTTCATCGAGAAACCTGTCTACTAGCCTACCTAGCTCTCCATTTAGCATTATCACCGTTACTTCCGACTGCTCTTTGTCTGATACCTTAGAATCTAGTCCGTTACAATCAAGCCCATTATCTAGACGACTTATCAGTTATCCTACAATGAACCGAATGTCTGAACATTTATCCAGAGATAATAACAACTTGGAATATAATTCCGACTCCGACAACGTTGACGAAGTATCTCATCGAAGTGAAACCCCTCAAGTCGAAGAAGTCAGGCCGCGGCAATTGCAGCTTCCAATCCAGAAGAACAGATTTGTGACATGGATCGATCACGGCAGTGAGCTCGATGAACAGCACTATCCTTTATATCCAAACGGCAATACTGTGTTTGTGAAGAGAGCAGAAGATCAAATCACCAACTTTTCCACGGGCATGGCGACGATTGCGTGGACTCACACCATGCGAACTGAACACAACGACAATTGGACCATCAGAAGATATTATTGCCTCGGTGTTCTTACGTGCTCTGAGAAAGAGTGTCCCTTCGCTGGTTCACCACCGACCGGCTACAAGGCAATCGAGAAACATCTCGCAAAGTAAGTCGTCTAATTCCTTACTTTGCAAATAATAAGTCACTCACGTATAATTTCTGGTTTTAGGTATCCTTCTTGCACCGTCTCCGGATGTCCAGGTCTTGTGAATCACCAGGAGTGTAACGCACGCTGTCGGGTCGACGAGGACACTGTCGATAACTGGTGTTTGCTGCGTCATCAAGGACAACACAACCACCGATGGCCAGACGCCAAAAAAGCCGATCCTCTTGCAAAGGAGAAGCTGAAAGAGGCTGTGTTGAATGATCCGAAAAGGGGACCCCTTGCTATGAAGGTAAGTTTGATACTCATTCTTTTGCCGTTTGAATGCGCACCTGACTGTGAGTCTGTGTCAGGTTGGACGTGCCCATCTTGGTACCCATCCGATTGCTTCGGTCACAGACTTACATTCGTCTTTTGGCCATACGGACCGCCTGGGGTATTTGCGCCGCGAGATTCTCTGTAAACACGGGTTAATGGACGATAAAAATGATAGGGAAGGTAAAGACAAATGGTATACGCAGATCAAGTATTGGTCCAAGTAAGTGAGATCTTATGTTATATACTGATATATATATACTGACCTTTCTTGTTGGTCCGACAACAGGAAAGGGATGAAGATGGTGTCGATATCTATGGACGACGACGACCATTTCACTTTTCAAACAACGTGGATGGCCGACATGTTAGTCCTTAAAGAAGAAGACGGCGAGGCATACTCAGGCGGCCTCCTCTCGGATGTGACATACAAGTTTTTTTTAAACGGATACTTGTTAACTACCTCGATGTTCAACGAAAAACTCCAGCGCTGGGTCCCCATCCTACTGTCATGGCTAGGAGGTCTGTCTAACTCCCATTACAAGAATCATTTCGCCACACTTTTCAAACAAATCCAGAAGACCGATTTGTCAGATCGGGAAAAAAGAAGACTGGTCGAACAGGTAGTAGATTTTTCAGCAGCGCAGAAAAATGGCTTCATAGATGCCTACATGGAGGTGTTCAACGTCCATGATCGAAAAATTGCATTCTTGAAGCTGCATGGATGCGAACAACACTATCAACAAGCAGTCACTCGAATTTCGAAAAATCATAAGATTGTCAAGGTGAATATGGTGGTAAGTCGAACCCATTTAATCTTAATCTGTCGAATTCTTGCAATCTAACATGTTTGCTATGTTCCATCATTACAGGCTACTTGGAAGACTAAATGTAGAGAACTCCTTCTTCCGGACGAACCTGGCCGCGAAGACCTCGAAACTCGATTCAAAGAGTTGCGCCGATTGTTTCCCTTAGCGAAAAGGTGGATAGACTGGTGGCACGCGGCCGATGTTCAAGCAATGCTCTTCCCGGCGCGCAAACGCATACCTGAGGATGACCCCCCGTTGCCCGAAGAGGACAGTTCAGAAGACGAGACAGGCAATCGAGATAAGCGACGCAGGCGCCCTGAATTGCCAAAAACAACGAATGCACAAGAATCTTTACATCGTGTTTATTACATGCTCTGGTAAGTCTCAATTGGATCTCATTTGATTTCAATCGAATAACCTTTGACAAAGCCTGACTGACATCGTCCTCTGTGGTGCTGGCGGTGTGTTAGTGATGGCAAGTGTAGTATCATCGAAGGGATGATACAACTCTTTGCCTTTGTCTCTTGCTTAGAGCGCGACTACCAGGCTCGGTTGAAAGGTATTCCTGTCACTTATGGTTCCAGCAAGGAAACGTGGCAAGAGGTTGTAACCTCTTTAGGCATGGCCAAACCAACCAAACGTCGTTTCGTCGCCAATGACGGCCGTGCTCCAGACACCACGAAGGAACTCCTCGATTACGACAAATCGAAAGGAAAAAAAGCGTCAAAGAAAAAAGGCCCTGCACGCCCTCAAGGTTCCCAGAACATTAATCGAAGCGCTTTAACCACGTATCAGTCTTATACCGCGGGAAGGACTGTGGGATCGCGAAACCGTTGTTGGATGTCGGCCACACTCGAATCATTATACGCGCTTTGGGGACCTCTCTGGAGCGACCGTACCCATGTTAATGGAACATCTTTAGTCACTATCATTATCCGACATTTCACTGGGCGATTGGACGTTGAATTGAATGAAGGTAAACACCTCGCTGGATTGTTGACCCGAGGCCAGAACATAATTCACAAGGAAATTCAAAAGATCAAACCCGAGTCTTACAAGTCTGACGAGTTCTGTTCTGCCGATGGCTTCATGGATATGATAGTAGAGCACGCTTACATCAGGCCAATGTTTGCACTCGACGTAACGAAGACCTTGATCTGCCCTTCCAACATCCAACATACTCGAAGCACAACTAGATCTATAGCTGTGTTACGGATTTTGCCTTTGATGTTCAGAGAAACTTCCCTTGCGTATGGAGAACTCGACACTTTGCTCCAAGAATGGATCAACGATGTATCATCACCCAACCTGGCTTGGTATGCCGTCAATGTCATCCAAAGACGCTCAAAGGCGACGAAGTCAAAGAGCCAACAATGCTCGAACAACGTATGAAGATTGAAACTTCATCTTTACCTTTGCACCTCTATTTTCTTTTGGACAACGTCGCCGGGTTAGATTTGAAGGAAAGAAAACGTTATATGGGCGACGCCAACTGGCCAGCGCGAATCATCATTGGAGTGGCTCAATATCAGTTGATAACACGTGGCTTTTGGGGCGGTAATCACTATTGGTGTCAGCTGGTGCGTTCAGTGGAAGGCGTTTTAGGAGTTTGGCATTACGACGAGCTTAAAAACGGAGGTTTTGCCCAGCTGGTCTCCCGCGACGTGGACACTATTGCTGGGTGTATTCCGGAAACCAGCTGGACGTGCTACATGCGGATTCCTTTTGAACCTGAAAAAACCAAGATCAAGCATTCACTTATTGAAATGATGAACAAGTTTCCTAACCAGCACTTCAGGATCCCTTTCTCAATGCCGACCAACACCTCACCTTTCGGAGGAGGGCTTCCCTCAGCTGAAGAGCCGATTGAATCCCCTTTAAGTACCTCCATCTTGCCCGATGGAGGTACAATGGACCTTGGTACTAACATGGACATCTCACCACGTCAACTTTCAAATGCGGGACACGAAATTGATCATAATCAAATGAATGAAGACCTTCTCTACGGGAATCTACACCGTTGCATTGAGGATGACATCATAGGGACCGAGGAGGCCGCCGCCAACGTTGATGAAGATGCGCTTTCTCAACATTCTTCTGAGAAAGCTTCTGATTCTGAGGAACTCGGGCCACCTTTGAACGCTGTGAAATTCAAGATCAAGTTGGCGGTCCCCAAGGTTGATCATGTGAAAGAGGAATTTGTTCCACCTCGTAAGTCACTTACCTCTTAGCAGCGTCCATCAACTGCTGGCACTGACTGAGTCTTTCAATGCCGCAGGTACCCAAAGCGCTCGCCAGGCTAAGTCTGTTCCCTTGAAAGCGGACCACAGCGCAGGTAAAAGGAAGGCTCCCGCTGCTAAGTCTAACGTGGACAACGCTTCAGCAGCAGCAAAACGAAAGGCATCGGCAGAAAAGCGAAGGGCAACGGCTGAGAAGCGCAAGGCTGCAGCTGCGGAGGGCCGCAAGGCTGCAGCTGAGAAGCGCATGCGGCTTAAGAAGTTGCGGGAGGAGTAATAATGGTGTTTACTTTTTGGATTTTTTTACTTTTATTCTTTTTCCTTTGGTTTTGTGGCTTATAAAGTTGTTGTCTACAAACCCCAAATACATGTTGGCTATAAAAGTGTTGACTACAAACCGCAAATACATGTTTTCTGCGCGGTTATCTGATGTTTTCATCTCTCAAGTCTGCGTAAACGGTTCGGTGCAAAATTCATTTTAGGCATACCTAAAATTATTTTTGCACGTGAGTTGCTTACACAGACTTTTACGGTGTAAAGTTTTCATGTGCAAAAATGAGATTTGGTTGCCTTGTCTTGAATTTTACGCTGTTTTTTTTTACACTGAACCATCCGGTGTAAAATATTCAATGTAAAAATAAATGTCTCTTCCGGCGAGAAGATTTTTGCACAGTCTTTTCCACACAACTTTTTTTAACACCGAGAAAAAAAAAAAAAAACATGTGTAAATTTCTAAGAACCCCCCCCCCCTGTTTGAATTTTACACTGACCCGCTTTTGCACAGAATGATTCGGTGTAAACGGGTCGGTGTAAAATTCCCCCTCCCCATTCTTTAACCACTCTCATTTCCTCGCCACAAAATTTCAACAAAATTCAAGTAGAAGGAAAAGAAAAAGCATGCAATACAATTATTACAAGATCAAAAAAGGATCTGTTGAACAAAAAATCCTATAAACAGAAAAGATGTAGTCGTCATAGTAAAGATACAATTTTACAAGAGAAAGACTCCCTTTTAGAACTGGAGACATTCATTTTACATTTTTATTATTTGTCCTCTTTAAACTAGTTTTCAATCGAAGTGAAATCTCACTCAAATTCTTCCTAATCCGAAACCTGTTTAAAAAAAACAGAAACCAAAATTGACCCAATCCAAAACAGAAAAAAAAACAGAAACAGAGCACAAAACACAGAACAAAAAAGATAAATGAATAAAGCAGGTCGTAGTTAATGGGAAAAAAGAGAATCAAAGTTTCTTTTAGAATCATTTCTGATTGATGATTAAAAACGAGAAGGGATCATAAGAAAATTAGGATCATAATTGATGCGGTACCTATGTTGATCAACAAGTGAAGAATCATCTCCAACCGGTATAGACAAAACGATCGAAGGAATCGAAATCGAAGTAGTATTAGTTGTACCAACTGAAGATGATCGAGCTCTACTTTTAGTTAAAATCGATCCTTCTGCTTCATCATCGCTATCATCTTCAAAAATCGATCTTGGTAAACATTCAATCTCAGTTTGATAATCTAATAATGAACTTGTTTCTGATTTGGTATCATCTTCAAAATAACTTTGTAACTCAAGACTCAGATTTGATCTTTCTCTTGTCACAAGACTTGCTCCTAATGTAGGTGAACCTTTTTCTGATTCCAAATCTTTTTGATCTGGTATAAAAACTTGTTGAAGACTTGATTTACATTGAGGTTTTTCGATCTCTTCGATTGGTGGATTAGGTCCAATAAGTAATGAAGCACCTGTTACGAGCTTTTGATCTTTCTCTTCATAACTTGAAAGGCTGAACATTACTTGGATAGAAGAATGGCATCCATGATGTTGAGAATCGATAAGTTTAGGTGAGTCATGTAAAATTTGACTATCAATTGCAAATGTAGGAGTGCCAGTAGACGGTTGAGATTGTGGAGTTCCATACGAGTAAACTGGATCATATGATGAATCTAAAGGTCTGCAAGTACCATAAATTGAAACTCTAGAAGGTTCACGTCCTTGATGAATGAAACTCCTAGTTCTTTGAGGTTTAGGTGTAGATTCGATAGAGGAATTCGAAGAGCTCTAAAAATCATATCATCATTAGTCAGAAGTTGATCAGATAATCTAATCATTCAAGTTTTACTCACACTTATACTAGAAGGTGTTGATTTTCTAGATCGGTTCTTACGAGTGAGTTTTGACCAAAAGGGACCATTGAAGACGAATCCTATGTATGACATATCTTTTCAAGACAAGAAGAATGCAAGAAATAATGTTTAAAAGGTATATATAAACTTTTGAATATTGTTGAGCTTCAGTTGCAAAAAAAAATTGGGAGTAGGAAATATGGGATGAAGTTGAAAAGAGGATTTTAATGAATTTACGAAGAGGTCAAGATAGAAAATTATGAATCAAAGATAAGAGATCAGGAGGTCTTGACTTCACCACTGCCACCATGAATCAAGTCTGAGTATTTATAATCTCCATCGATTTTAAAAACCCCGACCAAGTTTGATTGAACGAGTCGGAACCAGAATTCGGTAAGGAAAGGATGAATGTTAGGATTGTGAAAGCATGGACACTTAAAATCCAAAGTTAAACTACTAAAAGATCATTAGTTTGTCTATTGAATGGCAGCAGATTATGAGACCAAGGGATCAGTGCGACAGATATAATTATGACAAGATGTCAAAGAATCGGGCTTCGACCGTTCATGAAGGTCTATGATGATCTTCCACACCAAAACATGCATTTTAGATCAGGTCAAAAAACAAACTATCCAACGCATCCACTCTGCTGCAAACAACCGAAAGAAGTGCTGCATATGAAAACACATACTTATGTCAAAATATAGCTTGAGTGGTTAGCTTGACGCAAGAGGAATATACACGTGTAGTAGTTCGCTTTCTCCCCGAAAGCTAAAAGAATGCTAAAAGATGCCAAACATGCGAAAGCGCACAAGTAAAAAAGAATCCAATCCAAGACTAACCTTGAAGTGATCTAGAGCAGTCATTGTCATTCTCCAACCATCGGGTTATGGTCGACTCTGAGTATGTACATACCTGTAAAGAAGACGTGACCGTTGCAGTTGATCAACTTGTATAATGCAGGTATTTCTCTTATTTTGTAGCAATTGACTCTACTGCAAACTGTAATCCGTTTAATTCGATAGTGTGGGATGCAGGAGAGATCAAGATTAAGACCTATGACGAAATATGCTTGAAAGTGCTACGTATGTTCAATATTTGAGATGTTGAATGGTGAAAGGGAAAAAAGTAAAAGAAACACATAATTTTGAAGAAATCAAATGTAAGCTTAAATTCTGATACACATTAGAAATCTAATTTCTTTATCACTCAAAGAAAAACAAATTTGAAAGAATAGCTTTCTACAACATAATCTATAAATCAACCAAAAAGGTGAGGGATGGAAAACTAATCTTGATACTTTATTTTAATTGCAACAACTCAACTCAAACCAATCTTGCACCTTACATAAAAGTATCTGAACATCAATTTGAGGATTTAATAATCTTCAGTCTTCATGTCACTTAATCCTAATTCATCATCTTGTTCTGCCGTGCGTGTATATTCTACCTTTGTTAATTCTGGATCTGGATCTGGTGCATAGATATTTTGGATATACGAGTTTGATAATGGATCATCAATGATGACTGTGTAAGGCAGTTCAGCATCTATAACCTATTGATTTTGCGAAAAAAAAGACAAGATTAAGATCCTAACAGTTTCAAAAATATCAATTGAAGGAAAGTTTCGACTCACCTGTTTCAATTTAGCCAAAAAGGATTCCATATTTGACTTATTCGCATTGGGCGCAGACGAGTCAGCTGTTACGTTGACAGAAGCTGAATCACCTCTTGCAAAGACCTTTTGATCGAGTTCTTCATAAACTTGATTTAGTAATCCTTCAAGAGTCGTAAACCTCCCACCTAATGTACCTGGATTGAGATGTAAATCAATCTCTGGTAATGATAATGATGCACTCTCGCTCTTCAAAATATCACGACTTAAATCTTCTTTATCTTTAACATTTAAAGTGAGTCGAGTGCCTAAAGGAGAGATAGCACCTCCTGATTTGATTTCGTTATCTTTATATCCACAAGAATGACAATTGGTTGACATTAAGATGACTTCTTTGAAATGAGGAATCGAGATAGGTTTCATATAAGTTTCAAGAGTCTTCCCACATGAAGTACAGGTGGAAGGGAATGAGTAAACTTCTTCAGGTTTCTCAACCTCATAATCGTCCGTTAGTGTCGTCTCAGGTAAAGGTTGATCTGCATCGGGTAGTAAGCCAAGTTCCATGTTTTGTTGAGCAGTTCGATTAAACTCGCGTTTCGACCATTTCGGATCACTTAAACCTCCGATAGCTTCAATAAAACTATTCCCACTAGGATCTTCAAGTTGAACAGTCACAGGTTCAGCATCAGGACCAATGATTCGTTGTAATTTTTCGAGTAAAGCTTCAATCTTTTCATAAACGATCGGTTCAGTGTGTTGACGAACCGGCTGATTTAAACTTAAATCGTCAATACAATCCTTAATCAATCCTTCTACTGTTGTCATCTTTCCTTTTCCTTTTGGTATTTCAAGTTCAAGTTCTGGTAGTTTCACAACACAATGTTCAGATTTAATAATCGAACGATTTAAATCTGCTGCTGAACAAAGTTGTTTGACTGTATAAGTTGATCCACGTGGTTGGATTTGACCAGCTGATTGAATTGAATTATTCGAGTTGTGACAATGTGGACATTTGAAGGAAACGATAATCACTTCTCGAAAAAATGGAATTGACGTTAACAACATTCGAGTCATACCCTACAGTGCAATCATATTAGCAATCATTTTCCTGAAGATTATAAAAACCATATCGATGATCTTGAAAGCTTACATTCTTGCCACAGTCCATACAAAGACTTTCGATTGAATCTACACCTTCTACATGTTCTTCATTTCCATTTCCATCATCGTCATCCTGAACTGAATCCTCATGAGCTTGAATAGCTTCAGCAGTTTCTCCGATCGGTGCGAAATGGTTTTCAGGTTTAGGAACTTCTTCTGGTGTGATAGACATTTTATGACTTCGTTTCTGATGGTTTTTTAGAATTCCAAATTGGTCAACAAGCTTTTTACAAGAATTTGGACTTTCGATCCGGTTACTCGGGATCCGATAAATGTACTGTCACATAACCTGTCACATAGCTTTCACTCTTAAACACCTTGCTTGAACCTGGCACTCAGTCTTTCAATACAACACAAAGCTACTTGTTATCCGGTGCCATCAGCTTTGTCTTTCTTGATCCGATAAGTTCAGGAAATTTGGACATGATGGAATTCAAACTTCTTCTAATCGGCTTCAGAGACTGCCAATTGGAAAGATCCAATCCGATTGCCGTGTCTAATTTATCAACCCAAGAGATTCAACGGCGGTCAATCGGTCGCAGCTGGGAGACCACAACTTGCGCGGGTTTTTTCGTGGAGAGACTCAATAAGTTCGGGTAGATTGGTTTCAAGCAAGCCGGCTTTTTGGGATTATCCATGTTGTGCTTAACAGTGCGTTTTGGAGTCTCTGGGGACTGGTTGAAGAAGTTGCGTCTGTTCTTGTCTCATGGCTTTACTCATGAGGATATTATGGAAAGTACAAAGTATGGAAATATTTGAAGAAAGTCACCAGCTGCGGTAGAAGTTCGGCGCCTTTGTATTCTGTTTGCCTGAGAAGCTATTGAATGTTGCTTGAAAGAGATTAAAAAATTCTACAAACAAGGATTGTTGATCAAAGTCCTCCAAAGATCAAACCAAGTGATTGCAGGACTTTATGGATAAAGAGTCCGGAGATGATGATTGTTTTTGGCCTTTGAACTAGTGATACAACATATATTTGATAACTCAGAGACATCACCTGAGGCTGAACATATGCAGGCTGAACTTTTTCCAGAAGACTGTTTCCCTTTGAAGTGATTGTCAAAGATACAACCACTGCTGATGTTTTTTTATCAAATTGAAATGTGCTCGTTGAAAAACAACAGCATCAAGAACTTTGGTTTGGAGTTACAGATTAAAAATTTGTCAAGTTCAACAAGTTCAACCAAAAGACCTGGTCTTCGATACTTGGATAGATATTGTGAAAGGGACTTTATATATGACCCGTTCATGGTAGCAGTGTATTAAATTTTATGCTACATTCGAAAAAGCTGATCAGATCACGATCAGCAAGAGACGGGGGATTTAAACTTTTCCTTCAGGCCAAGAGCTGTCGTATCCTTTCATCACCTCTACCATCTCAAAACTTGATAGTCTTTTCAAACTTTACCTTTATCTTTACCTTTACATTCCCATTATCCAAATAGTCCACTCTTCTTTTCATCATGAATCCTTCACCACTCCACCATAAGCTCTTTGAAACCTTCTTGATTTCTGTTTTACCAATAATTCTACTTTGTGTGATCGCTCGCCTACTCTTCCCAAAAAAATTCCAATCAGTAGTCATAATTGGTGTTCTGATCTTAACTTTTTTACCTTCAGAAGGCTCTTTCATAGCAATTCTACTTCTTCTCATAATCTGTGTTATCCTTATTGGATTCTTAGCTGTCTATTCCTTCTCGAATCAAAACGATGAGGAGTTTGATGATGATCTCTATGACTTGCTTCATTTATCTATTCCTCTTATCATTGTGACTCCTCCTAGTGAACCTCATCTTACAAATTTACCTCCTCAATATAAAGAACAAGATGCAAACTTTCTTATGGTTCTTCTTAGATCTGGACGTCGCAGAAGACGCAATGGGAATTCTAGATCTAGATCTCGGTCTTCAAATAGTATGTCCTCTATTCTTACTTGTTATCTGTTGCTCTTTTTGCTAATGATTAATAATTTGATTCTAGGACGTAAAGGAGCAAGATGGATGGCTTTGTTTCTCAAAAGACTTTCGGATACGTCATTTCATGAATTGTGCTTTGTTTGGAGCTTTTCTTGATTGGTTTTAGGTATCTTTCTATTTCCAATTCTTGCATCCTTCAACTCAAGTTCACAAGCAATTTTTATTGACGATTCCTCTTTCCGTTACAGAATTGAATATTTCAGGTTCAATTGAAGCGTTTTTATTGTTGATGTTATATAACTTTCATTAAATTTGACTTTTAGTTATCCTTTCGCGTTTCATATACATAAAATTAAAGCCTATCTGTTATGTACTTGTTGTCCATCAAAGTTGTACTCAAATGATTGTTATTACTGTGGTATCTCATTGAATCTTTGATACCTTGATTCCATTGGTTGTGTAGATATCAGGCTCATTATTGTAAAACAACAACTTCTGGATTTTCTCTCGATCTTTGACAAGTCAGAGAGTTCCAAACTCCTGTAAAACGATTTTTGCTACATATCAAGCACAGACCTTCCCTCCGGCGTGATTGTGGAATAAAAACGCTTGGTAAGAATTCGTTTGCCTCAAAACAAAGTTGTCTCTAAACAACCAGATAACGACCGTACCGATCGATGCCGCTTGAGTTGCCCAAACAACATGGTCTTGAACACATGAAATCGTGAATATCAGAGGCTTTACTGACTTTGTAAACAATCATGATACTTTGAAGGGACTTGATTTCAAACGCTAAGGAGTTCACAATGAGCATGAGATGTAATTCAACCTTCACATTCCCATTAAAAGTGAGGTGCTCTCAGATTGAGTTATGATCATGATTTTCTGTAGGCCACCTATCAGGATTTTCTGATCTTGGGCCATACTTTTTTATACGTCAGTACATTTCTCCTGAACTCTGTCTGTGATCCCAAAGTATCACCAGTCTCTTTGAGTTCATACAAATCAATGAGGATAAGTCTTGAAAAATTCTTCATAGTGTTGAATGAGTGGGAAAAAGGTCTTGAGGTATCTTTGGGCCTTTTTCCTAGAAGTTGATCTAGAACTCATGATTCCAGGTCAAAATACTAAACATAGACTTGAATGTTTCAAGGTAAAGAAAAAGTCTGATACATGTACAATACATAACCTAGCTTGAAGTTCATCAATTCAATTTCTACAATCATGATGTAGAAAGGGTTGAACAAGTAATACAAATTTGATACGTCAGAAAATCTGAATCATCTCAATTCCTTTTTTCATAAATTTCTAAACCTATTCCTATATATACAAAAAAGATCTCAACTATTTAATAGAAAAAAGTGTAAACAAAACCCCAAGTCACCATGTTTTATTCAATTTGATTGGTAAATGACTTCAGAATTGTAGGTGAAGTACATTTACTTTTAAAAGATTTTAATCATTTTTGGAAAGCTTTGAAATACAATTAAAATCAGCTCATATATGATCTCTTAGAATTTGATCACCAGTCAATTTTTAGAAGGGTTTGGTATGATCATAAGATTGAAGATTGAACCATTTGAGGTGATACAGCGTATATTATCTTTAGTTAGAAATCATTAGAGTATGGTACCAAATGAATACAAAAGAAAAGGCAGAGAAGATGGTATTTGAGATTGAGCATGGAATAGCTAGACTTGCCTCATTCTATTTTCCTTCCCTAGATAAAATAAACTCACGACGTACCAATCCTTGAAGATCTATATGATTTACTTAGAAAACATCTTCAACTTCCACCATAAAATTTTACCTCATCTGAACCTCAAGCACTCCTCATCTCTCCTCTCTCTTGGTTAGTTCTCCAAGTTTATCCCTGAGATTATTTTTCTAGTATGAATATCATGATACAATCATTCTCTTATATACATCACCGTAAGAAAAAAAAACACGTTGAATTAACGGATTACACAAATAGGCTTTTAGAAAGCCCATGTACATATGATACAAAGTTTGTTGTTAAAAAAATCTTTGAGAATTGAAAGGAAAAAGTTCCAAGTTTTTGACATTCAGATGAAAAAAGCTCATTTCGTTTGATTTCTTTATCTGTCATTCATTGTTTTCTATTCTATTCTATTCTATATTAATTACCTTTTCCTTCATTTTGATTGTTTTCTTGTCTTTTTCTCTTCATGCACCTTTTCTTTGTTCACAATCACTATAAACTCTCATAGCTGCCATAAATTCTCGATAAGTGACTTGATAAGGTAAGATAGAGTATGATCTACCATGACTAATAAACCAAAAAAGGAAGGAGTCAGTTTTTTATCACTCTAGAAGAAGATTCACAGAATGAAAAAGATCAGAACAAGTTGGCTTACTAAATCTCAGCGAGATTTAATTGCCAAGGTGGAAAACCACGGAATCGAAGTGATCGACCTCCAAGTACCATAATCAGATCAGGAGGACCAATAGAAGTAGCTAAAAGTCAAAGAAAAGAAGCAAAGAGTCAATCAAGCTAAAGATAATTTAAAATTCCAAAAAAACAAAAGACAACTTACAACAAATCTGATCACCAATAATCTTCACATTCAGATCATTTAGTGAAAGAGATGAATCTTTATTACGCATTGAAGTCACCAGTTGACGAGCCACTTGAACAAGATGTGCATGACCATGTTGACGAGTCAGGATATTGAGACGTAAGGTTTGTTTAGGTTGTGAATTTGATCCATGAATATTATATTTGATTAAGAAACTAGTTAATACGTCTGCCTGATCTACACCATGTTCTTGATTAGGTAAAATCAATTCAACCGAGTCTCTTACACCGATTATATATGTTGAAGCGAGTGATTCTAGTACGTCATATTGGTATTTTTTGAGAAGTCCTACATAGATTTAAACCGTAAAAACAGTTGAAAAAATATCAATTTGTAACGCTTGCAGATTATCTTATTGATAGATTTGAAGAATGTATGGATTGGATTGTAACTCACCTCTTTCGTCATAAAATGATATTTCTTGAACCCCACTAAGTTTAGACCAAGTAATAAGACATTGTAAATCGTTTGCCATAGCATTAACTTCATACAAATCTTGTTTCTTCTCTGGATCCGAAGTTGAAGAACGATCAAATAAAAACTTGAAGAAGAATAGTCGATTTAAAGTTGTATTGATTGGAACCCAAACGATGGCTATATGATTTGGTTTTTTCTTTAAAGTTGATATTTCATTTGAATTCATTGATTTGAATCCAGCTAGAATTAAACCATCTTCCAACATATCTCTAAGACGAGTTCCACATCCGATGATCACTCGAGTTGCATGAGTGAATAGGTGTAAGATGTGAAGGATGCCAAGACAGATGGTTAGGATGATAGCCCGTCCGATTATTGTGATGAGATCTTTGATCATTTCTTGATGTTCTTGATGATGATGATGGTATATTTGAAAAAGCAAGATAAGAAATGAAAGTGTTTCGATGAGAAAGTAAGAAAAGAAAGGTTCCAAGTGGTTGTGTAGGTCACGGTGGTGTCAAAGTCGATCGAATTGGTTTCGTCAAATTAAATTCAACAGTACTTCTCAACTGGATTATAATTTAATTCAGTTTGTAATTCTGAGAAACAAAAAAAAATGTGGGAAGAAAGGAAGAAGATCGATTATATATCTTGGAGGATGTTAAGTCTCAAGAAATCAGAATCACCATCAATCTCAATCTCAAGCTCACCAAAAGGAGTGCTATCTAGTAGAATATTCAGTGAAAGCAGACTGACCGCAGATGAGCTCATCTCAGTTGAAATACTCACTCATTCATCATCTTAAAATCTTTCTCTAACCCCCAAAGTATGTAACTCACTAAACCTGACTCCCGATTTACGAACTTGATTTTGCATACATAACTCCTGTTGAAATTATCATAGACTTGAAATGTTGTATCCATCACAGAAAATGTGATGTAGTGTATCATTTGAATCAGCATAAATGATATGACCCCCAAAAGATCACCCATTTATGCGATGCTTGAATAGCAGGAATGTGATTGGGTTCAGTGACCGGGATTTTGTACTCACCGATAACTGAATGATAGATTAAGAAATTAAATTCCAACTCAAGGGATTATTCGATAGTCACCCTGATCCAAAGTGGTTTGTACGCCGTGAAGATTGTGATAGCAAACCATATAGCTGAAAGATGAAGGCTACCTATGAAAAGAATTGAAATTGGTACTGCTATTAACATAGGGGAATCAGTAAGGCTAAAGGGGTCACGTAGTAGTATAGAAATACGTATCCTAATCACATCGAAAACTACTTCTCCAGCTCTCAATAGTTCAATTTGTTTTTCAGTTTTTTAATTTCCTGCCCGCCACCCTCTTGTCAGACAGGGGTTAAGTTCCAGGGCTCTCACTTTCTCTTCGCAAGATGTAACTCGGTCAGCGTAGGGGACGCCTCCAGTGGAGACTGTCAGTGTCAGCGCCGTGTGTGGCCTCCCACAGCACTCTCATTTTTTCAAGCCTTCTTGTATCGCAGTTTTTTACTCCTTCAGGTCCGAACCCGCTATTCGGCATACAAAATTGCAACCCGGCCCTAGCCCACCTCGTGTCACTGATTCCTTTTCTTCCTAGTCGAGGAGAACAATTTTGGACAAGTCATGGATTTATGTGTTTTTGTTTGATCAAGCTGCTTGACATGAATATAATCTGGGTACCCACCTACTGAAATGTGTTCTGAATCTTGTTCCTCCTGAGTCCTTTACTCCGCTTCACTAAATTTCAATCATCTGGTCATCAGTTTATCACTTTGGTCAGTATTCTGTCTTTCATCTTATCCCTCTTACTTTACAAGTCTGTATGAGCCTAGATCTCTTCTCTCGCTGTAGTATCTTAGTCACTCTTGTCAAATGCTGAGCTGATCATCCTCGACCTGCTAAAAGCCGGGGTATGTAGAAAACCTGATATTCTGCCAGGACTCGAGAATTAGCTTGATGTATGTAGTTTGTCTTTTATCTTCTCAGTCAAACCTCCTAGGTCTATGTATCTCAGAGCTCTGCCCTTGTCATAGTATCTCATTTGTCCTTTTCAAGTACTGGATAGACGGTGACAGATATTTATAAAAGGTTTACTTCTCTTCTTGGGTTTGTTGCTCTACATTTGCCTTCCGGTATCAGTGTTTCCTAGAGTAGCGAGATTTATTTATAAGGTAGTGAAAAATTAAAATACTTTGAATGAAGCTCACGCTTAACCGTTGTGAGAATTTCTCGGAATGAGCTAGTTTGTAAGCTTATTTTTGAGTCATCATTAACACCCGGGGCTCAGACGAGAGTGTTGCTGAAAGTCGCTTTAAACATGACTAAGCCAAGATGAGGAGTGGTACATAGTTTCTGAAGTAAAGTTCTCCGTTATTCCAGACCCTAGTGGGGTCAGTGAGATCTTCATATATCGTGAGCACACCTTTTGCTTGGGATCATAACAGATCGATCCTTGAATGTGTGCGTGAGCTTGACGAGTTTTCCATATCAAACCAACGATGGTCACTTGTGTTACATACACCGTTACGGTATAGTTTGGATAATTATTTAATAAGTCATGAACAGGGCCTCTCCCATAGCCAAACGCGTTCATGGGCAATGGCTACATACCATCTCTACTCTCATAGCATTTCCTCACCATCACTCCAACAGTCTTAAGATGTGCTTTTTACGTATGGCTCTTTCAATGCTTATTCAGCGTCATTTTCCACTTACATATTTCGTATTTAGTCCGAATGCCCAATACATTTCTAATTATCATTTTCAAAAGCATTTACTATACTTTTTCCAATCGTACCTACAAAATAATTCCAAAGCACAAATAAAAGCTCAGGTGAATCACAAAAGCTAATCATCACTAAAAGCTTAGTTTGAAAAAACATAAGGGGTTTTTCTTTATGAAGATCCACGCGTTTGAACACTCAGCTTTTTTATGATAAATGCGTAACAAATTCCCTTTGTATCAACTCATCTGAGGAACTTCAAAAGGGGGTGACAACACTCTTTACGATTCCAAAGGAAAACTTTAATTGATCGAAAGCGAATTGAGAGGATGAAAAGTTCTTTAAACTCCCTCAACTTTTTTTATTTTATCTCATTTCATTTGACTTTATGATCGCGCTTTTGGAGCTCTAAGCTGAGCGCTATTCTCAGACTGTTCAGGTATATAAGTGAGGTCAATCAGACTCAATCTAATCCACAATACGCCAAAGATCTATACGACCTTTCCAGCTTTCCGAACATCAATAAACCTTTCGGTCAAGCTCATAAAACCTGAATACCGATAATCACGCTCCAAATCATACTATCTAAACCCACGTCACACAACAAACAAATGCATACTATCATGAAGATTTCCTTTCTACAAGCCCTTCACTTATTCAACACAGTTTCTGCTCACGCTTACATCAAAACTTGGTCGGCCGATGGTGGTAAATTTGAAAATGCTCAAAAGCAACCTTTAGGTAATACAGCCTTCAGAGGTGTCTCAAAGAATACTGGATGGATCGGTAGTAAATTTATCGAAACTCCAGCTATTACTTGTGGTGCTAATGATACTCCTAAAGGAAAAATTGCCGCCCCTATCGCTCCTTTCTTCCACACGTCTGATCAAGCTGCGAAGAAGACTTTATCAGTTAAAGCTGGAGGAGAAATTGACCTTGTGATCACCGGTGAACCTGGCAAAGGGTAAGACTTTCTTTCTTCGAATTCGATGACCATTACTCCCTCTTGTCTGTTGATCACTGACTTTTTCTCTTCTTTAGATTTCCTCACCCTAATGGCCATATTCAAACTTATCTTGGTTATTGTGGTGCCGAAGCGAATTCATGTGCCAACTTCGATGCTGCCAAAGCTAGTTACTTTAAAATTCAAGCCGAGGTAAACGCAATTTCTGAGAAATTGCGTCCAAACTTTGATCACAAGGCAGATGGCAATAAATGGAACATACCGATCCCTTCATTTATTCCTCCAGGTAGCTATATAATGAGATTAGAATTGTGGGTACCTTCTTATCACTCCTTCTGTTCTCATTATCTTTTCAATCACAACGTGCTCAAATGTTTCTTTTCGTTCTCTAGGATTACTTTCGGACAATCGAGCGACCAGGAGGGAAAACAAGATCAATATTACGTGTACTGTGGTCAGATCCATGTCACAGGTTCGCGAACTCCCGCCCATGATCTCAGTCGTCTCGATTCGGTTCAATTTCCCGGAGCCTACAAGTCTGGGAACATCCCTAAAGACCATCTTCCAGGACCCAAGGTGATCTCAAAGGTTGCAGGAAATCAATCTAAAGAAAAACAGCCCAAGGGAAATAAATCCAAGGACTGCAAACCGAAAAAATCGACCTTCAACTCTAATCAATTAACCAAACTGACTGCTTGTGATGGTACTTGTTTCAAAGCCAAGACCACTGCTCACGAACTCAAGCATTTAGCCCCATCTTGTTCACCCGAAGATTTCTCTTGTCTATGTCGATCTCATAAATGGATTTGTGCATATGTATCCTGCGCTGAAGGAAACTGCAAGGTAAGCTCTTCTTCTGATTTTTTCCACTGTTCCTTCATATTCCAAGTTTTATGAACTGACGAGATTCTAATCAATTGTGATTTTTAGGGAGACGAGAGCAAAAAGGCATCTGATGAAGTTTATTCGAAATGTGGAGCGATCTTATCCTCACGTTCTCGTTTAAGTACAACCGATTATATTCCCGAACATCAAAATCCATCTTCAAAGGAGATCTCAAAATCTGAAAGTTGTATGAACAAGTGTTTTGGATCTGGAAAACAACTTGGTCGTTCTACTTGTCGTTCTGGAGACTTGGACTGTGTTTGTAAAGACCACGCAGCCGTTTGTGCTTGGGCCAAATGTGCCGAGACAAACTGTCAGGTAAGTTGAAAAACCTTTCACTTGACAATCTCTTCACTCATCTGATACAACTTCTGCTTTGCTTTTTTTTGTAGGACAACACCGATACCATCAGATTAGCCTCGGATGCGATTTATGAAAAATGTTATAAGATTACCAGCTCTCCTGTTCGAAGAAATAGATAGTTCATTCTTTTGTTTAGTTATTTGTTTTTATCGTATATAATTTGAATTGCAAGGCAGCGCCTATGTCTATTTTTGTTCGTTTATATCTGACTATTCTCAATAAGAGAACTTCCAATATCAAAAGGGTACTTGAATGTCTCATGATTCAAAGTTGAGAAAGAAATTGAAAGCCCGATAAATGAGAGACATTGCCGTTGATTACCTTTGAGATGTGTTTCACTCCTCCTTCCTCATTCCTCATCAATTTTCCATCATCTGAACTGGAACCGTTGCGCAGGTAGCCTAGAAGAAAACCCAATTGCCTCTTTCTCTATACAATCTTCATGAGTGATGGATTTTCAAAATTAAGATCAGCGTTTCCACATAATCCTGTCGAACAAGAAGCTTTGTAAGTGGATTGGTATGAGGAAGATAAATCCAATGAGCTTTACTTGCGATAGTTGACTACATATTATGGTGAAACTCGCTATCACACTCACGATCAGGCAGAAACTGCTTGAGGCTTTAACGACTTTATGTGCCTTAGAAATTGAGACAGTCCAAGTCCAAGTCCAAGCGTATGTTTTTGTTTTTCTTTCTTTAACAAATACTAAAACATTCAAATTACAAAGACTGATAAAACCGAACTTTACAACGATGACGATGACGATGATAAATAAAATATAACTAATCAAATCAAAAATTACGAGAAGAAACCAAGAAAGAAAACCAAAAAGAAACGGTGTCCGTTTTTTCCAGAACCTAATTACAATCTCTAACAAAAAGTCTTCAAAAAACTCAAAAAAAAGTAATTAAATCAAAACAATTAAACATTCAAAAAGTGATTGTATATTTGCTTTTGAAAAAATAAATGTATGTATTGAAAAATTACCAAAGGAATCAGAAAAGAATTATTTCCTTGAAAGACTTTGATTAGCTTTATCACGTAAAATTCCAATATGAATTCTATGTTTTCCACCATGACTATGACCATTACCAGATGAACCAGAAATCGATCTTTTCCTTTTACAAGCAGAAGACATATTCTTCATACCTAACATTGTTAGCCTTTCTCCTTCTCCTTCTTCTTCTTCTTCATTCCCTTTGACTTCATTCTCATTATCTTCCTCTTCTTCCTCCTCCTCTTCTTCTTCTGGTACTACTCGTTTAGCTCTCGGTGTTTGTCCTGTTACAACGTCTTGTTTGATTTCTTTTGTTAGATAAGTATGAACGTCTTGTTGGATATTGGCCATTAAGTTGATAGATTTCTCTATACATTCATTTGTTGAATTGCATTGTACATTTAACTATCCAAAATAACACACATCACAGTTAGTAACTTTGGAAACTTCAATAGATCTTTCAAATCAATACTACTGACCTCTTTCTTACTTTCTTCAACTACATCCTCCACTGCATCTTCAACCGTTTTCATCTTAGACCTTAGTGTTCCATAACTCTCTTTCGTCTCATTCAACATTCTTGTCAAACTGGACTCAAGCTTTTCGCCACGTTGTTCAAATTCGTCCAAGACTAAAGAACCAAAAACGTTTCAGGAAATGTAATCTACATGTTTCCAAAGAAAGGGTAGTAGCTTAGAACTTACGTTGGTTACATGTAGTCTTCATTTCAGTTTCGATTTGATCTACTCCTTCAAAATAGACTTGAGAAGCTTCAAGAGCTTGATCGTGATCGGTCACCAGCGCTTTCGAAGCCGCCTTAGCTTTCTGTTTCAAGTTCTACAATAGACAGAGAGCCAAAAGATGAATATCGCAAGAAAGGAAAAACAGACAAGAATGAATCAAGAATCGATCACCAAGCTCACCTCATCAAACCCTTGTACAGTAACCCGTGTACCATCTAACTCCGTAGATAATTGAACTTCTAATCGATTGTGAGCCAAATCAAAACCTTCTTGAAATTCATCAATCCTTCTTCTCTTATGATCTTGTCTTTGACTTAAATCTTCAAGTGATTGAACAATTGATTCTGTTTCTTTCAATTTCCTTTTCAGATTCGATTCTCTTTGTCGACTGATGATCCTCATCAATTCTTCTGTATCTAAATATCCTTGTTCTTCTTCTTTTCTATAATCTTCTTGAAGTTTTTCAATTTGTTGTTTAAGTAAATCTGTCTAAAGAGAAACAAAACATTCGTGTCAATAACCAATAAGATGAACACTGCATCTCTGCTACATAATCATGGCGAACCTGTTCCAGCAACTCTCGTTTCTCTTCTTCATGCGATTGGATCAATCCTTTTCGATCCTCTATAAACTTCTTCCGAATCACTTCTACCGTCTTTTCTGCACATCCCCACATCCGATCACTATAGTTCAAAGCCTTTTACAAATCGTGAAAAGATAGTCATCAATACCAAAGTCCCTAGCATCAAAACTCCACAAAGCATTCACCTCTTCTTTGATTTCTTCAATCATAGATTGCAATCCATTTAACCTTACTGATTCTCTTGCGTTGACTTCATTCAGATGATCTGAATGAGCCTTCAAAAGCTCTTCCCCAATCATCTTCCTCAAAAGTCGGTCTCCAATCAAATCCTGACCGGTCCCTTCAAGATCCTCAATCATCTCCGCTGCTTTCGTATGGCATTGTGTTAAACCTTCCAGTCTTTCTTCTAAATGTGTATGCGATGCTGAAATTTCCTACTCGTCAAGAAAGGTCAGTTAAAAATCCACTACTTAAATCACAAAGACAAATAACAGACAACTTACTTCTGAATGCTTTTGTCCAAATTTCGTAAGTCGGTCTTGCATAGTCTTATGAAGTTGATTAAAGTTGACTTTAAATCCGTCTAATTCAGTTTGAAGTTTACTACTAGTTGCCTTCATACTTTGATCGACTACTTTGATTGTATCTTGATTAAGAGCCTCAACTGCTGCCTTTCGACCTAAAATAATGATGTATAGAGTCAGAAAAAAGCTTCGGGTTTACAAACCATATCAGATTGAAACTGATTACACACCAATCTTGGCCCTTAATCCTTCATTCTCTTCATAAGCCTCTTGACATCTACCTTTCCATTTACTCCTACTTCTTTCACTCACCTCTCTTGCACCTTTCTCTTGAACCAAATCGGTTTCTAAATGATCTCTAATCGATTTCAATTCATCTAATTCATTTAACCTTTTATTCAATTCATCTTGAATTTTTTTAATCTCTCCTTCTCTAACATTTAACATTCTTAAACATTTCTCAAACTCTTTCTTGGTTCTCATCAATTCCAATTCAATCAATTCAATCTTTCTACGTGATTCAATCATCATTCGGTTTTTACCTTCTGATTCATTTACCATCTCTGACCACCTTTCTTCATTAAAATAAATTCCATTCTTCGTACGTGTAGCAATCAAATCATGTCTTAATTTTTCAATCTCATGTACATATTGATTAATGAGGGCTGCTTTATTAATCTTATTATTCAATTCTGGTCGGTTTTTGATCGATTTGGCTCGAAGTGCATAATCTAATGTTGAAAGGGTTTCTTCAATATTCATTCGAGCTGGTGAAACCGTCGCAATGATACACGTCTTGGTCTTTCCTCCTAACGAGTCTTGTAAGAGTCGGGTTAGCTTGGACTCCCTACGATGGTTGAACAAGCAATTGATCAGTGACCATTCCGCAGATGCAGCTATGGCGAGAAGTCAACAGAATTAGAAGCTAGCAATGGCAACGCTTACCTGTATGGTACATGACTACTCTTTTCCACCAATGCATTGATCACTCTCCCTAAAGTCAGTAAACTTTGATTAATCATCCCAGCTTCACGTGCTCTACCAAACTCTTTTCCAGCCCCAGACCTTCCCACATTCTCACTCCCAGCTAAATCAACCAAATTCAATTTTCCAATCTTCAATTGATCTTCTTTTCCTTCTTTTCCATTCGTATCTTTAACATGAATCGTTATAGAAAATACTGAATGAGATCTAGATGATTGTTCATTACATTTAGTGGCTGCAATTTGTCTTCTAGCTGAACCTAATGTTAAAATCTTGATTCCTTCTTTTGCTGAACTGATAGGTGCTTCTGTTAAGTTTTGTATATAAACTCCTGAACCTCCTGAACCTCCTCCTTTCTTATTTGATGTGCCATCTTCAAAGATTTTCAAATTAGTAGAACCAATTGGAGGGGCTCCATTGGTATTCGAATTTCCAGTATTATTGTTCGTATTCGTTTCTGAATCTGTTCCAATATAATTCAAATCTCTTAATTCTTCATTATAAAGTTCTACAAAACTAACTTTTACACTAAATTCGACTTTTTCTTCTTCACTACAATCTTCTAATAAATTAAAGAGTGAATGAAGTACTCTAGGAATAATTCCAGCTTCGGTAGAGTATTTAGTAAGTGAAGTTGGGATGATGAGAGGTGTAGGATCTGAGGTAGGGGATAAGTTTTGAAGTCCATCTGGATTCATTGGAGAGGATGAACCTTCTGAGCTTTTGATAGTTGGCATGATGGTAGTGGTGGTGGGAATGCTCAAATCACCTGTCATCGTATATCTGAATAAAGAAAACCAAATGTGAGACAAGGCCTTCATGAAGAATGTAGTGATTTGCTTTACGTTTTGCCTGTACCGGTTTGACCATAAGCAAAGATAGTACAATTGTAACCTTGAAGTACTTCTGTCAAAATAGGTGAAACGACATCGTTGAAGATAAGGGATTGATCGGCATCAGGCCTTTCAGATAAAGATAAATGATGATGATGTCCCTGTTAGCGCGACTGAGGTTTTTTAATCATCGGGCCGTGTAGATCCAACTCTTATTTCGGAGCAAACAAATAACTCACCCAAAAACGTGATCAAAAGGGTATGTCTTGGTATTCGCGTTCTTTTTAGGGTCCTCAACCAAAGAGGATCCATAACCTGTGTCAAGCGGCACGGGATCATCGGGAGGACAGTTGGCATCGTTTGAACCTGTCGCGTCTCCTGCGCCTCCGGTGGGCTGATTGTTGACGTTGACAGTCAGTTCGCGACCACGAACGCCTCCGGTGAACAAAACAACTTGTTGATCGCGTTCTAATTCGGTCAATCCACGACATCGGACTACCACTTTGATATTCGCGCCAGGATGTTGAGAATTGATGGGTCCATCGGTTGCTTCAGTATGAGAAGTTTTAGAATCAAAGTTTGAATGATGACTGGATTGCGATAGTTTAGGTTCTGGGACTCTCTTTGCAGAGGTTGTAGAGCGTGAATGTGTTTGAGGTTGATTGACTCTGGATGGTGGACGAGTGAGACTTGAAGTTGAAGTAAGACGAGTTCGAGTAGATTGTCTTGTTGAACTTGGAGGATGACTTGAGGCTGTGGTAGGTTGAGTTGGTTTGGTTGAACTGTTGAGGCTGTTTGATGATTTAGCTATACGAGACATCTTGGTGAAGGAGAATCGAATGAAATGATATCTTGGTGTTGTTGAGAATTGGCTGTAAATGTGTAAAACTCCAGAATATTTGACGAACGGACTGTATGTACAAACTTTTCAAGGGCGAAATTGAATTTTTGCTTTTAATCTGTAAAAGAGTTGAACAACTTTCTACTTCATCTTGACAAGGAAACACTCATCATTCAAATTTCCACTTCCATCCCATTCTCAACTCGCTTCTTCATTCAAATTCAATCCAACGAATCAAAAAAACACCTTCATCCCGAATCCAACCTGTGATCCGGTGACAAGCCGGTCAATCCTGGCTCATCCGACCCCCAAACCGACTGACAAATTGCCATCTGACTTCATCGCGGAATGACCAATTGGTATCTTTGCAAAGAAAAATCCATGCCCGACACCCGACCAGATCCCTCGCCAAATATCCGGCGAGCACTCAGAAACAAATATTTCACCCCAGATACAAACCTGAGTCTTGGGAATTTATGCTATTTGACCCATATTGAGGCATGTGGCAAGGGGAGAACTCTCAGTACAGGACCCCAGAAAGGTCCTCCTGAAGCAACCAACGTAAATCCCAGATTTTCAAAAATTTCATACTTGAAAATCTCGAGTTTTTGGATCTTTCATACCAATTTTGTCAGTAACATCTTAGATCAGAAAAGAAGCACCTCATGTTCATCCCAGCCACATTAGTAACACCCAAAGGGCAATAATTGCATGTTTTGCAAGATCTGAAGGATTTGGCCACAGTGGCTGGTCAGGATGGCATGGCTTGTTGGCCTGATTGAATAGGGTGGTCCAAGTCCAGTGACACAAGCCACATGGGCACTGACTTGCAATCACTCTTTTTGGGGTTGTTTGGTCCTTAGAAAGATTGATTGCACAAATCCAAACACTCTAAATTTATATTTTAAGGACCTATAATTTCAGGGACTTTGTTTCCAACGTCTTTTTTTTCTAGTTCATTTTTTTGTTTTGATGGTGTTTATGAAACTCAACATCCTGATTAAGTGGTTGTGATGAGATCAGCGGAAGCACATCATCTCCCACACGTGACCTTTCAAGCCCAGCAAGTACCCAATCTTTTGTATTTGACCAAAAAGCATTATGATCCAGGAACAAGAACAAAAAGAAAAAAAGGTGGAAGCAATATCTTTTTTGCTCATTGTCCCTGACCTTTTTGGGATGGCAGGGAGGCAATTTATAATTTTTAAGACTGATTTGGTGATCTTAAAACTGTGAACCAAACTTTTACTGAAAGTTTAAGGTGCCCAAACAAAATATAAAACTTGAAAATGGGCTGTCAAAGCCCTTCTTGAACTACCCTAATGGTGTGTGCTCTTGCATATGTCAAGACCATATTGTTGCTGGTTATGCTGAGGATACATTAGGGCGGTTCAAGTCAGTTTTAGCGGACAATGCGCCGCACTTTGCCAAACATAAATTTTAGGTGTGTCCGGTCTTTTAATTTTGTGTTTGCAGAGTGGCAGACACCGTAAAAATAAGTTTTATGGCCACTTAAAAAAAGGTTCAACGTTTGAAAAATGTAAATATGGTCCTGATTTCCTTGTTTCAAACGCAACGGTAGGGGTGTTTTAATACTTTTTTTCACATCTTTTTTTTTGATTGATCAACTGTGACGTCTCTGTGACCACCTTGGAGAGATGGACTTGTGAGAGAGGTCAGTTCAGTCAATCAAATCTGATCTCTCATCTCAGTCTGAACTCTCTACTCTCTTCATCGCCTGCTCCTGGTCATCATCATCATCATCTTCACCTGTCTCCCATTGTCTACACCGCACTCAAACCATCCTAATGCCTCGAGTATCTGACCGAGTCACCGCGATACGAGATCTAACCACTTTGTGCATGTTTGCTCATATGGATGCCGCGACTGACACACCTGGCGGTGATGAACATCCACCGGACCCTAGCGATGGACGAATCTTTTTTCCACATGACGAGCTTATGGTGACGTTGTACGATGACCTCTTTGACGAGGAAGTCCAGTGGGCGGATATGCTATGTACTGTCATCTCGCGGCGATATCTCGAGCCTCGATTTCGTGTACCACTTGCAAACGCTTTCGATCTTCGTGACATGTTGCTTACCAGAAGAACTGACTTCCGACAAGCGATGAGGACCACACCGGAAGGCTTCTGTGCCCTTTTGGAGTTGATTCATCAAGACCCAATCTTTATTTCAAACTCCAACAATCCCCAACCTCCCGTGGTACAACAACTCGCAATCACCCTCAAACGCCTTGGAAGCAATGGAAATGGGGCGTCAGTTGGAAGGTTTGCGAGAAACTACAAGGTTGGGCAAGGCTCGGTAGTCAACTGTACCCGCAGGGTGATCTCTGCTATTCTCACCGCAGGTGCTCATTATGTCGCTTGGCCCAATTCCGAAAGACGCAAAGCGATTTCCAAGGTCTTAGAACGCGACAGGTTCCCAGGCTGTGTGGGCTTCGTTGATGGCACCACGATCCCGCTCTTCCAGCGACCAGGCCGTGATGGCGAAGTATTCTTTGATTGAAAGCACCAATATTCCATTAATATTCAGATTGTCTGTGACTGTGACAGACGAATCACGTATGCTTACGGTGGTTGGCCGGGCTCTTGCTGTGACAGCACCGTATATTCAAAAGCCAATGTGGCTAATGATGAACATAAATATTTTGATAAAGGTATGTCAAAATATTTCTTGATCCACTTACTTGTCTGACACTGATGTATGACTTATCAGGCGAATATATAATCGCGGATTCAGTGTATATGCCTTCGGAAACTGTTGTTCCCTCATACAAAGGCCAGGCAGCCAAGGTTGAGAGAAACAGACAGTTCAACTGGTGTGTTGCGAAGGCTCGTGTTCGCAACAAACATTGCATTGGGATTCTGAAATCAAGATGGGCATCTCTTCAAGGCTTACGATTGGCTCTGAATGAACGAGAAGATATGTATCATATCCTGCGATGGGTACAATGCTGTATCATCCTTCATAACATGTTAGCTCGTCTTGGAAATGCACGGTGTGGTGAGCATTAGCTGGGACCAAGAAAACTTTTGACTTTATAGCCAGCCAGACTTCAGATATTTTTTCTTTTTTTTCTTCTCTTATCCTGGATATTGAGCATTAGGTCAATAGTCTGTTTCATTAGACATACTGAGTTACCTACGATCAAAGTATAACAAACTCTCTTCTAGATTAATAAATCTGGTCATAATACGTTCTAGCTACCGAGAGGCACTTGACTAAATTTTATTTTTTATCACGAACTAATCGAGGGCCCCAATTCTCCTTATGACTGTAACATGGTTAAACATCTGATCCTGGCAATTACGGCGGTTTACTTAAGAGGATATTTCGACAACAAAAAAAAGAATAATAATAAATTACAAATGAGAATATCTTATTAGAAAATGACAAGTCAACCGGGAATTCCGGATTGTGAAAGAAGCTAGTACGAATGCTCAAATAATTACTGGATTTACGGAGTGTCGATTGGATAATTTAGTTGCTGTGCGGAGCTGGGATATAAAGAGGGTTGTGAAAGGACGTACAGGGGGAGAGCTAAGACCGATAGGGGTTAGTGAATGAAGTTGGTACTTGAGTGAGACCGTGGCCGTTTTCTTTTAGTTCTTTAGATTCTTTTCCTTCTGCCTATGTTTTTCTTCTTTTGGTTTTTTTCTCGCTTTTTTTTACTCTTTGGTTGTGCGTTAGCATTGGTTCTTATCTTCGCGCTATTGGGAAAAGGATGGTGAATGGACAGAATAGACGGGTATAAAAGAGGTGGGACGCGCTGAAGAGTCGGTTTTTTTCTTTTTTTTGGGGATCATCTTTGACATCGCAGTGCTAGTGTTACAATCTATAGTAGTATTAGAACACAAGCTTGTAGTCCCAGGTCACTTTAAAAATCCGCCCCCTCAGAACGAGGGAGATATTTAATTTTAAGCATAGTTATATTTCATTTATCTCTTTATCTCGTTACATTTTTTTTTTTTTTTTGGCTAGTAATTCAATCTGAGTGTTGTTATCTCGTCGCGTGAAGCAGCTTTAAGGGAATAACATCCTGTCAGGTGTTGAACTTCATCGTTAACAAGAGAGGGCAGTCTCTGACACTACTATCACTCACCTTACTTTCTCTCGAGTGCTAGTTGAACCTTCTCGAGTACTTGTTAGAATACAAACTCCAGTTTCAAACACATCAAACTATATTATCTCAAAATCAAACTACATTAAGTCAAATTCAATTACAAACAAATTCAAAACTTAATTATTCAAACTCAGACCTAATTCATCAAGATATCTAACCTAACTGAATCTCATTGTATCACATATAAATTAGATCACAGACACTACACACGCCTCTCTTCCTCACCAGTTCACTGAGGAAGATTGGCGTGTAAGCTCTTTCTTATCTTTTATCACATCTTCATTGAATACAGCTCACTCTATCATGTTGTTTAGATTATCATATGTTGTTATCACCTTTATAGGTGTGTTACATTTTGTCACAGTGTTCAGAACTGTTAGACGTATCATAGCCTGATTACTGGCTTCTACCAAGGTGTTGAGTTCCTTCATTTCTCTCAGTACTGTTTGCCGCTGCAGCGTCAAAGCTACTACAACGGGAGGACGAGGGCGAAGAACTTGTAATTGGTGAACGAGGTGGGGCGGGGCAGGACAGATTTCGTGAACTGGAGGCAGACATAGCTTTCGTGGAAAGAGGAAGAGCTCGGCGTGAGGCGGTGCGAGACTTCGCGGTGGCATACAACTGGGAAAGCGGCGGGCTTCCAATTGTTCAATGAGCAAGATTTCATATTATCTTCAGGTTCTCAATCTCCATCTTTTGGTTCACATCGTTTACATATATACTTAATCAATTTTTTGTTCTTGTCGCTCGGTTTCAATTTGTATTTCAATGTTTTTGTTTTTCTCTCGTTTTGTGTGAATGTGGTGTTTGAATGTTCTTCTCTTGTTTTGTTTCAATGTTGTGTTTGAATTCATTTGTGTCTCTGTGGTTTGTAGTTTGTATTCGTTGCAATTGAAACTTAGGTTGTGCTCTTTCAGTTTGAAACTTTTGAAATTCATCATAATGGCCTTTTTCTAATCATCTTATCGTGATGAGAAGGACTTTTGGTGTATTCAGGTTGACTTATTGTTAAATTTCAGTTCATGTATTACTCATTCCACATACACAGAGAGGAAAACAGAAAGCTAAAAAGGTAACAGCACCTATTAAACAAGAGTGGATAGTAGACAAAACAACAGGGAAAATAAAAAGAATGACATGTTAAAAAAACTCTTAAACGAGAGACTGAGAATCGACAAGTTGACAAAAAATGATATGTTAAAAAAACTCTTAAACAAGAGACTGAGAATCGACAAGTGGAAAAAAAGGATGACATGTATAAATAACTCTTAAACAAAAGACTGAGAAGCGAGAAGTTGAAAGAGAATCTAGGACTTGAAAGCAAATCAGGATAGCCAATTGATACATGATAGACGAGATAGAGAGAAGAGAAAAGGTCTAAAACAAAATAGAGAGCAAAAGCTCAAAGGCGAAACTGAATAACGGTACACCATCAAAAAAAATAGACGAGAGACGAGAGACGAGAAAAAGGACAAAACCAAAACTAAATAAGGGGACACTACAACCAGAGACGAGATAGAGGGAAGAAAAATATAGGCTAAGTTTGCGCCTCTTCTGGATATACCAGGCAAAGATACGCCTTGAGCTCTTGAGGGGTTTTGCCATCAAGGACAAGCTTTTCACAAAAAGCTTTGCGCTCGTTCCTGGCCACGAGGGCAATCCAATTGCGCTCTTCTTCACGTTCGAGAAAAAAACGTTCCTTTGCCCAATTGAGGTCGGATTGGCGCGCTTCCAACTCAGAATGCTGTTTAGCAGCGTCGAACTGTTGGCGCCATTCGTTGGCCGAACATAACATATCGATCTTTGCCGCATTGCCCATTTGCATTGCAGTTGCAACCGGGTGTTTGTGCTCCTTGCCGCGCACAGTTGAAGGGTCGATAGAAGGCAGAGGATCTACTGCACAGCGTGCAAGAGTAGCTCGACTGGCACTGCGTCCGGGTTTCGAGGTGGACGCAGTTGGAGCGGTGTTGCCGTCTTCTTCTGACGAGCTATCTAGAGTGCGTTCTTCCGCAGTTAGACCATCCTTCTTGGAGCGTTTACGTTGCATGATTTGCCGCGCGGGTGTCTTAGTCTGAGTAGGCTTTGGTCGCACAGCGGAGGCCTTGTTGACTGAAGCAAAGTCTTCTTCTGACGAGCTATCTAGAGCGCGTTCTTCAGCAGTGAGACCATCCTTCTTGGAGCGTTTACGTTGCGTGATTGTCTGAGTAGGCTTTGGTTGCACATTGGAGGCCTTGGCTAACGTGTCCTCGACTGGTTCAGGGGTAGGTCGCGGTGAGTCATCGTTTCCGTCAAGGAAATCGCGATAGTGAGCATTGAGTGCCATGTCGGGGGTGGGAATGACATTGGTGGTGGTTTGTGAATCCAGAAGCTCTTGATATGCTTCCATTTCGTCAGCATCTGGACTGGAGAATCGTTCAAGGTTACGAGGCGGATTTATTTTTGCAACGGTGCCGATGGGAGGACCTACTTATTAAATCAGGGTGAGATCAACAAAAATCAGGGTGAGTTTTCAGGATCCAAATAGTCTGAACAAGAGAACAAAATTGCTTACCACGAGCCAGATTGACTGTACTGCTCAACTTTGAAGCCGTGTTCTCCACCACAGAGTGATCGTGGCCGTCGGAAACGCTTCCTGCATCACTGGGAACATTTTTGCCATTGTCGTCATTTTCGTAGTCGTCAGAACTTCCCGGTAAATCAACACCGGTGTCGAGGACACCAAAAGGATTGACATTTCCTTTGTCACGGAATAAGACGTCCATTTCGTTGAAGCATGGGCACATGCTTTCTAATAGGTCCTCCATCATACGAAGACCATCTGCAACATTCTTGGCGGAGAGACCGCTGCCCGTTTTCAAGGAGAAGGCTTTAGTGGTGGAGTATTTGGACTTATACCGTTTGAGACGTTGATGTAAGACGCGCCCATTTAGCCGCATGTCGGTGGAGTTGTGTCGCATGTTGTAATTGTTGTTCAGTTTAATAGCGAGGCAGTTCAAAATGGACTTGGGATTCATAGGCATGCCAGAGACGCGAGTGTGACTTCCACCACCAAAAAGAGAGTTACAAACATTTGGTTTACCGAGGTATGCGACGATGGATTGGTAATCGATATGTTCAAAAGCGGGGCTGTCTCTGTTCGGGGCTTTAGCTGAAGCAGACACAGAAGCACTTCGAGCCCGTTTTTGGGCGGCTAAACGTGATTTTTTGACAGCGGCAGGTGTCGCCCGAGCGTTTGCGGGTATGCCGGAAGCAAGGAGGTCCTCTTCGATTTGGGCTCTAGTCCAACGAGTTCTTGGAGGAGCCTAGGAATCGAAAGAAGGTCATAGTGCTCAGCATTTTGAAATAACCAGGCAGTGAGTTTCCAAAATCACTGACCTTTCCGTTAGGTTGTACATTAGGTGCCATGGTTCTTCTATCGCGGTGAACGGTGATAGGAGTCGAGAGATGATGTGTTGCGAGTAGAGGGAAGTATCGAAGCCGATAGTTGTAGCTGAGTGAGTCTAGAGAATCGAATGAAGTCAACAGGGGAGACCAAGTCGAGAGATGATGTGTTGCGAGTAGAGGGAAGTATTGAAGCCGATAGTTGTAGTTGAGTGAGTCTAGAGAATAGAAGGAAGGCAACAGGGGAGACCAGGGATTGCTACCCAAGCTTGTGGCGAGATAGTGGGAGGAACTGCATGCCCTCGGAACCGGGGTAATCATGAGGCCGTGATTATGATGGTCGAGCTCCGGGTATCGTTTGGTTTGAACCATTTGAAACCGTTTTGGGTTCTTAATGAAGGAGGTGAAGAAAAAAACTTCTTTTTTTTTTGAAAACAACGTTAGATTGAGGCACAGAAAAAAAAAGACGGCAAACAAAAAATAGGAAAAAAAACAAAAAAATCATCGGCTTTGCTGGCCTGACTTTTTTTTATCATAAGATTTTTAAGACCAAATAAGAGATCGCAAAATCGTGAACCATCTCTAGAGCTGGTTTGCAAAAGTTAAAAATGTCCTTAATTTTTAAAGGCACCGAGCAACACATAAAATTTAAAAAAGGGCTGTAAAGGTTCTTCTTGAACCGCCCTATTATTACAATCTTCAACACTGGCCAGAATCAGAAGCAGAAGGCTTATAGATATTGGTTTCAACGCCACCAGCGCTCCACCCAAGATAGCGGCAGCGGGGCAGTAGCACAGCTCCCGCTCCTCTCACGCTATGGTTTTTGACGGATAGCGGGTCCTTGGCCTTGCTATAGCTATGGTCCTACCCCCAACCACCATAGCGGTTTGGACATCCGCAGTGCTATGTGGTGACGTAGCGCCCACAAGCGCTTAGTGCCACGGGGTCACATAGCAACCCATAGTGTGCAGAGTTGATGTTATCAGCCTACAATCAACTGGGTTGGTAATCTTTTCTCTCATCTCAATCAATCATTTAACAAAAAACTGATTGTTCTTGTTATTCAACAGACCACAATAAGCCAGTTGTGCGGTTCAAAAGCAACTCAAACATGGTAATATTGCCCATCAGAAGAAAGCACTCAACCTTTTTAACGGAGCGGAGCAATTTTTAAAGCCGCACCACTTTGAGATGTTGGAGCAATTTAACTTTAATAGGGGAGCGGTAGTGCTTTCTTACCTAGCGCAAACCCGCTCCACTTGGCAAAACAGCCCATATAGCGCAGCGGAGCGGAGCGCCGTGGGTGTTGTTGGTTTACTCTACAAAGCTATGTTTCCATACCATTCAGTGCCCAAGACATTGGTATGCTGTACTTACAAGAAAAGGATCCTGAGAATCATGCTGGCCATATCTGTAAGTTTGTTAATCAACTAGCCAGTTTTGTACCAATTTGTTTGGTAACATGACAAGATCTCAACCACTCGGATCATACCAAAGACATTGATTGGATTATGGGGAGCTATCTGGGGTCCTCTCAATACTCATTTAGTTTACAGTGGTTCATTGGTCATGTCACAAAAAATGACATGTTGAAATATCTGGACTTGTGATGGAATACCTTTGCTGGATTTCTGGTGATATCTACCTCATTGCCCCCAGCTACTAGTCACTGGCAGGCCAGAGACTACCACTATTTCAAGAAGTTTTCAAAGTGATTTCAGAGAAATGTTTTGGGGTAGGTTCAAAAGCAATTTCAGATGAATTTCAAAAGAACTTCTGATGGTGTCTACAAAATTATGGGCAGTTCTCCAGAGAAGAATGAACAGAATGTGGCTTCTGACCAAATAGAACCAAAGACAAATGAACTTCAAGGACCAGATTTGGCTCTCCAGTTCCAACATGCTGTGTAAGGAGATAGGGTACTTGGTGCCTTGGTCAATGTTGATCAAGTGACCCTTGGAGATGGCTGGCCAAATATCATGGGAAAACCAACATTAAATTTTGTAGATCATATAGGTCAGATCTCAACACGTCTTGGGCCACCAGCTAAGACTTCGAGCCGGTCAGGTTAGTGGATAATTGGAAGCCTTGTTCAGACAGCTAATGACAGACATATATGTCAGTCTTTTTTGTCCCTCTTTGACTACCCAAGTAACTCGCAGCTAATCTCAATCATTATTGACACATCAGAAGGACATCATATTTATTCTCATCAGATTGTTATGTTGTTCAACATACTCAAATCTTTTTCAATGTTTTTCTTTTAACAATACCTCCACTGTGTCTCCTCAGTTGGAGACAAATTCAACTGCAACTCACCAACTTGGGGATGTAAGTAGTTCAATTTTATGCAGGTGTGTTGATGTGAATAATCCCTACAAATACCAAATTAAACTTTCAGCATACTCAAACAAATATAGCTTGCTGAAGACTGATGGGGTCTATGTTCTTTATAAGTCTAAAATGGTGGCCTCAAATGTTGAAAACAGTGTTCAGATTTAATTCTATGAAATTGAACATAAAAATTTGGAAACCTCACCAAAAGAAAAGGTTTTTTTGGCAAACAATACCACAGTTTCCAAGTTAGAAATCATTGTCAAGTTTTATACTGTACAAGAAGAGTCCTATGACAAGGCCACAGCTGTGGCTATAGTGGTGTAAATAGATTGCAATACTTCTGTCATGTGTTTCAAAAATGGTTCCTCACCAATCCCTTGCCAACCGTTTCCTCAATAGGCAGATAGATGATAGTTTTCAAGGTAGCTTATTATGTATGTCCAGTATGAAGCCTGATTGCAATGCAGGACCTCTTGCAAGTTCACTATGAATGGGTTGTAAGTGGCTACACAATTGATCTTGACACAGAAAACAATCAATTTATTTGTGACATGGGACATTTCTTCCTTTCAATTCTCACAAGCATTCTTGTAACCACCTTTTTATATCCACAATTGCCTTGCTTTAGGTTACCAGAATTAACATCACCTCTGGGTAAGACAACAGAAACACATCTTCAACAGCTGTTAAAACCATCAATACTGTTTGAACATTGTCGGGACAACCTATGGGGAATTTGTCGGTCTACATTACACTATCATCAAAGAAACTTCAAGTGCCTCATTTGTGGCTTTGAATGTAGTTTCAAAAGAAAAAAGTTCCAAATCAGGAAGTTAAACATGCCTTACTGTTGATACTCTCAATAGTGTATCACAAAATACTCGACACTTATCCTCAGTCTCAGCACTCAGTCTTCTTGTGATCAGAATCACATGCTGAGTTTTTCTTTTGTTCATCTTGTAAGAATCAGTTTTCCTGATCCTTTGCCTCAGCTCAGAACTCTTGTATATAATATATCTATTCTTGTGATTCATTTCATTCCTATTTGACACAGATAAGAAATTAATATCATTATTAGATCCACATTATATGCTTTCGCTCTTCGGAGTATTCCCTTCGTGACACTTTCATCCTCGCATCTCTTCGCATTCAAGTGACAGCTCTGGATCAGCTGTTCACGCTTGTGTCACACGACGTTTTACATCTATAGGTTATGAGCCCAGCGCTCTAGACGCGCCCTCTATATCAAATATCACCCTTTGACTCATCAAAGGCACTAACAAAGTAAATTCCATTCAAGACTACACTCGTCCTTCTTCTCATGTCGAAAATCCTTGACACCAAACCAGCCGAACCTCCAATCGATTACAAAATGTCGAACTCCAATTCGGGAACTACTAGTTTCAGCACATCCGCAATCTCATCCATTCCCAAATTAGCCATGGGGAACATATATGCATGGAAAACCGAATTAAAAATCTATCTCAAGATGAATGGCCTCTACGAGTTTATCGAAGAAGAAATCAAACGCCCGTCCGACTCTCAAGAACGGTCTCGTTTTGACATGCGACAGGCTGCCGCTCTATACGCGATTTGTAACACTATTGATTCAGCAAATTTATCCTCAATCGAATCACTCGAAGATCCCAAAAAGGCCTTTGAAACTCT